GATTGCTAGGGTAAAGAAGTCTGAAATACCCTATTGCTACTTAGAGTACAGCCTAGGAGCACAAGGCGCTCAGACAGGATGGGTTGGGAAGGTTAGCAAGTGTCCTGTAGAGGAGTGGGCCAGCTTCGCTTGGAAGGAGAAAGGTTTGTACCCAACAACACCACATAGGACATCCTGAGCGAGTGTGCGGCGGGCTTGCCATTAAACTAAGGCAGAACTTTGGCGTGTGGGGGAACCTGAGAGGATGCTGGCTGGTTTAGAAGGAGGACACAGGAAGAGAGGAGCTTCAGTCAGTTGAGTAGGACAGGTCGAGTCCTAAGATGCCGTCATAGGGCATTTATAGACTCTGGGGAGCTACACAGGCTCGCTTTTTATATTTTTCTTGTGTTTCTTTTGGCCCATACAAGCCTCTGAGACAAGCAATGCCAGTGTTGGAAGGAGGCCTCGGTTTTAATATCGCTGTTGTACTAGTATTTGCAAATGCGTTACTTAGGTGGCTAATACATGCACCTGTCCTGTTGAATTGGCATGGACGAAACTTAACACAGTGCACTCTTTCCTAGGCCGGACCTGATAGACATGAATACTGTTGCTGTTCAAAGCAACCTTGCAAATTTAGAGCATGCTTTTTATGTAGCTGAAAAAATCGGTGTTATAAGACTTCTGGACCCCGAAGGTGAGTTCTTTTCTTGACTCTTAACCTGCGCTGCCATGCACATCTCACCAGAAGTCATGTTAGCGTCGTGAAATAATTCGTCTCTTGCTGCTTGTAGATGTGGATGTCTCTTCACCTGATGAGAAGTCAGTAATAACCTATGTGTCCTCCCTGTATGATGCATTTCCCAAAGTCCCCGAAGGCGGTGAAGGCATTGGTGCAAACGTGAGTATTGGTTGTCCCGCACTTAAAACTGTTGGGTCATTGGTGACCAGCAATTGAACTGCTTGCTCTTTAGTGCAGGGCTTTAAAAAGAGATTTAAATGTCTGAGCTAATGTGCCATTTTTCTGATTGTACGTACACCTCACAGCATCGTCCCACCATTGAAATTGAAGTGTCACTAAAAAAGTTGTCCTGTGTCACAAATAAAAGAAACTACTTGGGAGCCGCGGCACATCTGTGAATGAAAGTAATGAGTGACCAGAATGTAAATATTTTCTCTTTTAACTTGCTGCCCTTTTACAACAGCTGGCTCTCCTGTCCTTCTGTGTAGCTAGGCCATCTCACTGTAGAATGCAAGTTAAAGTTGATTCGGGTGACCCCGTGAAGTCAGTTGACTAGATAGTTGTTTTCTGACTTGTCTAGATGAAGGTCTCTGTGTTTGACCAGGTGGCCAGAGCTAGGTTTCCCACACACAGTTTGGCTATTGTGACCACCCTAGAATCACCGTTTCTCAGAGGCTTGTGGAATTGAACCCCGCTGTGCTGAACAAACGCTACGTCTAGAAGTGAACAGGAAGCTGTTTGTTTGAGGGGCATGCCCCTTTACCTCAGGCCGCTCCCTTCTTTCTCACAGATAGATGATAGACACAGATATATTTGCATTACTTGGAAGCTTTGTGCTCCCTTTTCCGATGGCTTATACCACCGCTCTATGGAATTATTTCTAGATCTAGTTTTGTTCTCTTCCCCTCGCCTTTCACAAAAAGATCTTAACCTTTTGGATGTCCTGGCAGTGCGCTCCCATTTCCCTTCCCCTGGCTGCTGTTGCAGAATGGTTCTCTGGCTCCTTCCTCCTTCCTTCTTCCTTCTTGCCACAGTCACCCTGGTTTTACCACCTCTTTCTCCGTGTGGAACTGGGCTTGATAATAGCTTATGCTTTTCCATCTCTGCGTTAACTCTGCACGTGCCAAATTAATTTTTGTAGGCTGCGGCGTCTTTAGTCTTAGGGTTTGCAGGTTGACTGGTTGAATTCTTTCGGATGTTTCAGCAGTCAGAACTGCATCTGATCACTATTGACAATCCCATCTACAGTTTTGTAGTATTGATCAATTACTTATAGGTAGACCATTCCTGTCAGTGTCCTGCATTCTTGGGGATTCCTGTCTTTTCCCAGCTCTCTGCAGCCTGCTCCTACCATATTATTGCTCACTGTTCATTGCAGTACTGCTCAGGGCCCACCTTTCTTCTTAGGAAGTCTCTGGTGCCCATTGCAAGGCACATATGTATCCTTCCCTCTGTTTTTTAGACTATGCTGCCCGTTTCAGTCACTGGAACACTTAATTAGGCACTGCCCACCATGGCACTTAACTGTTCGTACAATGATTCTCTCTGATCCCTAGTAAGACAATGACTCCAGACTACAGATACTATGCTTTGAAAGTTTTTCTTTTTATTGTAACAGTAAGTGTAATCCTGCCACTTAACAAGCAATCTTCAGAAGATTAATTACACAGCACGTGTCAGCCTTCTGATTCCTTCATTTTACAAGAGTTTGTTTAATGAGTAAAAAATCCCAACATATCCAACCTTTCCCTGTCTGGTCCCTAAATCCTCTGTGACTTTGTTGAGTGTCAGATATTAGGAAAATTAGATGCACAGTGGTGAGCAGAGATGACTAGCCTGCCATATGCAAGCTGTTACTCCCCTTAAGTTGAGCCCTGGAAAACCTCCCAGATCACAGCATTTTTTGAAGCCTCAGAAGCTTCTTCGATGCAGTGCCCCAGACAACCACTGTTATGGGACCACAGTTGACACTCACTGGGCCAGGGTTAGTGGCCATATGTTAATAGCCTGCTTTTAATGTTGTATGTATGGAAAGAATTGTAGCTGAGTGGAAACTAAGAAAACATTTACCTGATTCTCTCTGTCAAGCTTCAGGTCATCTGTGAGGGGGTGGGTGCTGCTGAGTGGAAACTAAGAAAACATTTACCTGATTCTCTCTGTCAAGCTTCAGGTCATCTGGACTCACAGGAATGTGCCTGACACATTGTGTTGCAGATGAGTGTCCTTATGAATGACACAAACTTTCCCCTCTGTTTCATTACCTAGGATGTTGAAGTCAAGTGGATCGAATACCAGAATATGGTGAACTACCTCATCCAGTGGATTAGACACCACGTGGTCACAATGTCTGAGAGAACATTTCCTAACAATCCTGTAGAACTAAAGGTTGGTGTATCGTAGAAGTTCAGTAGGGTTGATTCAAAAACTTTAAACTAATGCTAGGTTAATCCCATTATCTTAGCGTTCAAGATAAATTGACGTTGGCAAGCCATGCATTTTAGTAGACAAAGTTTTTATTGTCTATTTCCTTATATAAAGAGAAAGTCGAGGTAAATATTAAGACAGTTATAGCAACAGCATCTTTACGAAGTTACATTCCCCGAGCTTTAATTTGTTGAGAAGTAAAGGTATAAATTGAGAGCTTCTGAAGCTAACATTGCCAAGTCTTACATAATGAGTGGGAAGTGCTAAGAGTCCACCGGATACTGGAACAGGAAGATCAGTGGGACGCTCACACACAGAGCAGTGATCAGAAACATGCCTCTGCTTAAGTCAGGCGAGAAACTGCCCCGAGGACTTCTTTTGTAGAGTACAAGGCACATCCTGTATGTTATGAATTTCAAAATACGGATCCAACTACAGTGCAAGTGAATTGAAATCAATGCTCGTAGCCTAGTGTTCATGGCCAAGGTTTAGCAAACCTTTGCTAATACTTTAATGTTAGGTAAGGTCATTGAGATGGAGATATCACAGCAAAATAAGGTCATTATGAATACACAGCTTTTCAAAGAATAACCTGTCTCATTTTGTACATTTGTATTTGAAATAGCAAAAGCAGTTTATTATTAATAAACCGCTAATATGAATATCAGTAATATGAATATTAATACAGAGTAGCCTTACTTCTTTGGCTTAATAAGCTTTGTTTCAGCTCTCAGACTGGAATCACAAAAGCTGTAATAACACAGCATAGGCCCCATGAAAGTTCTTTGTTGTTCTCACACATCTGTTCAGAACATCTGTGGCATGGCTCTGCTTCTCATTACCACAGTGTATTTGTCCTTGGCACAAAGTGACTTAGTATTTGTTGATTTGTTTGTTTGTTTTTGTTTTTGTCTTTGTTCTTTGAGACAAGGTTTCTCTGTGTAATTTTGGTGCCTGTCCTGGATCTCGATCTGTAGACCAGGCTGCCCTCGAACTCACAGAGATCTGCTTGGCTCTGCATCCTGAGTGCTGGGATTAAAGACATGCACCACTGCCACCTGGCTGATTTTTTTTTTTTTCCCAGAAAGGAGCTTTTTATAGGGTCTTATTGTAAGATGCCTCCCTTTGTGGATATGAACTATTCTAGGGCACCAAAGTCTGGCCCCTTCTATTGCAACATAGTGTCACAGTGTTTTGCACATGGTGACTTTTGGTGACTAGTGACCGATAGCAACCAAAAAGATTTTGCTTTTGGTTCAATGCAGTGTTTGGATTTCATGTACAAATACACTTACTTCTAAATGAATTCCTGGGGTGGGATTGTTTTGGTTTGTTTGGTTTGGTTTGGTTTGACCATTGTCTAATTGTGCTGATGTCCGACTTCTGCAGCTCTTTAAATGTTGTCGGAGTCTGAGTATTCACACAGGTTACTTGCTAGTAGATAATGTAGGAGAGAAAAACCTATCCTTAGGAATTAGCAAATATTTCTACAAGTTCCCAAACCTTTTTAGAATCTTATAGAAATATGCTGTCTATTTTAATGTAGCATAAATAAGCTTAATTGATTAGTATACAGCTATTAAATGTGAACGTGTTTTATTTATGCAATTTTTAGAAAGGTCTTGTAAAATGAATATTATAACATTTTAAGAGGTTCACAAATGAGATAATCATTACATGATTGGAGTGTGTGTAATAGTAATATCAACTAATAACATCCACTTCCCTTTGTTTTCCTTTGTTAGTTAAAAAGAAAAAAAGCTGTTGAACTTGACAGTGGTATGGTGAGGGCACATGTTAGCCCTACCTAGCTGCTATGGGGTTCCAGAATAGAGCCATGGAATGCAAGGGAGCAAGTCTTTTCCTTCCTTTGTGCAAATTTCTTCAAACTGTTTTCTAGAAACTAAAAACCAGTGTGTGGTGTTCGGGAAGCTGAGCCTCTCAAGGACGTGCTTTTGTGTTTGAGTGCTGGGCATTGGTCATCATTTATTGTTCAGATTCCTGTGTGGCACGTGTTGAATCAGGGCTCACATCAGCAGTTCAACCCTCATCTAGTCCTATGCAACCCAGCACACAGCTAGCTGCCTGGCAGCTGGATCGTTGCATCCATAAAAGAATTCTACTGAGTGCTCATGGCACAGGAAATGGCCTTTGCTGGTGACGGGTGAGAGCAGGCTTCGAAGGTGGGCCGTGATTTATTTTCTTTTTCGTTACAGGCACTTTATAATCAGTATTTACAGTTCAAAGAAAAAGAAATCCCACCAAAGGAGACAGAGAAATCAAAAATTAAACGACTATATAAATTATTAGAGGTAAGCCAAAATTATTCTGTGGTACTTTGAAGCATAATTTCTGAATTGCTTTCAAGTCTTGACTATATATGAATTATTTTGCTTTCTTAAGATCTGGATAGAGTTTGGACGCATCAAACTCCTTCAAGGTTATCATCCAAACGACATTGAGAAAGAGTGGGGCAAGCTCATCATCGCCATGCTGGAGCGGGAGAAGGCGCTCCGTCCCGAGGTCGAGAGGTAGGCACGCTGTCCCGTGCAGTGCTCGTGGCCAGGCGGTCTCCATTCTCCTCCTAGAACTTGGTTTTTGGTTTGGTTTGTTGGTTGGTTTTGTTTTGTTGGTTCCTTTGTTCTTTCTGTGATGTGTTCATGTCTTCCTGGGTGCTTGTGTGGATGTAGAGGTCAGAGTTCAACCTTGGTCTTTCTTCAGGAACCGCCCACCATGTTTTAGGAGACATGGTCTTCACAGAGACCTAAGACTCACACAGATTACATTTTCCATTTACTTGTTTGTATGGCCCTGGATAAGTCTCTTAGTGTTTTTGCTCCTCCATTTCCTTATCTAGAAATGGTAGCAAGAACTCTTAAAGAGTAAATTAGTACCTACATAGAGGACCTGGTAGGTTGGATGGCTGTGTGGAGTCTCATCTAATAACGTGTTTATTTAAAACAAAAAAGCACCCAGAAGTCTTTCTTAAAATAACCTTGTTACCAGGACCCAAGTTAGGAAGCTCGTAAGTTAGAAATTAACTGTTTTGTTTCTTACTAAAGTTTTTAATATAGCCTCCTTCTCTAGAGGCAACGGAAGTACTTTCATTGAAAAGGCAATGGAGGCTGAGCGTGTAGTTCAGTTAGTAGAGCCCTTGCCTAGCATCCACAGAGCCTTGGGTTCCATCCCTAGCATCATATAAAACTGGGTGCAGTGGCACATGCCTGTAATTCCAGCATTTGGGAAGTGGAGGCAGAAGAGTTAGAAGTTCAGGATTATTCCCCCTTGGCTATGTTGTGAGTAAGAGGCCAGCCTGTGCTACCCAAGACCCTGCCTCAAGTAGCAACAACAGTAGAAACAGGCAGTGAATGTCAGTCTGGGTTCCCATTCTGCTGTGTATTTAGTCCGTGAAAATATCACTGACTGCTTATTATTCTGTTGTTCCAACTGTACCCCACTGCTCAGTCTTCAGCAACCACCCACCCACCTAAGTGCTGGGGTTCTAAGCCAGGGCTTGGAACTTACTAGGCAAGTACACTACCATTGGGCTGCATGCCCCGCCATGTTATGTGGATTTATTTTCATATGGTCGTTATTTTGCAGCCCTACTGCAGTGTGTAAGACTTGTGCCCTGTGTCCCTCCTCACAGCTGAAGGCATGTGTGGTCAGGCGGTGCTCTGGCTGTCTCTTAGGCGCTCACCTGGGCTGTGTTCCACCCTCTATTCACAGGGGTTTTGTGTAGTCTGCTCTTTTGGCAGGGAATCCATTTCACATCCCTGTTTCTCTTTACTCCTAATCCTTCTCAGATTTCAGCCTCCCTGTTCCTTCCAGCAGTGTCCCAGGCTGGGTTACCTGCCTTCTTTTATGACTAATAATTTATATAAAGTATTTTTCAAGAATGCTTGCCTTGGTGGTAATTTCGTATGTATTCATGTTTCGTTCAAGCCACCTGTTTCTTAGATAGTAGCTCTAATAACGTGGAGACAAGCTGTTATTTTGTGTCCCTCCCCAGTGTTTTCGCCCAGTGCCAGGCACATAACAGAGGACGCCCAGCGTAGTTGTGTTCTTATGGTCTCCCACACTGACTTCAGAGTTGACACGGAATCATGTACTTAAGATACAAAGGCAAGTTCAGCTTGCCAGCCCTTTATTACTAGTTACACTCTTGTTAAAGCATAAAGTTACCATGTCTATATAAACAGAGCGTAAGAATCAAAATGAGCTTTAAATGCATGGGCTGCAGCTCTTCCTAATGATTAAAACGGGGTGTTAAACGAGTCATTTGAATTAAAGATATAGAGAAAATATAGAGAATTTTAGTCACTACATCAGTAGCTGAAGTTTAACGTGTCTTAATCCTCTTGTACTGCTGCAGCAGAATGCTACAGACTGGATAACATAAAGAAGTTATTATTGAGGGTTGTGCATTGGTGCATGTCTACTGTCAGCCCAGCACTTGGGAAGCTACACCAGGGGCATGGAAAGCCTAGACTATATAAAGACTGTCTTGTGCCTGAGGAAAGAAAAAGAGATGAGGAAATGGGGGCTCAGAGCTGTAGAAGTTGAGAAATGCCCGTGCTGGCACCTGGTGAGGGCTTCCCCTGGTAGGTGGAGGAAAGGCCTTGCGGGGAGGTGAGTGGAGCTTCGTGGTGGCTAGGGAAGCAGACAGGCGTGGAAGAGAGCAGGCGCTCACTGATGCAGCATGGCCGTCTACCCGCTGGTACTATAGTAACCAAGCCACTCCTGAGATAATGGCATTAATTTATTCATGAGGGTTGAGTCTTTATGATCTAATCGCTCTTAAGCACTTCACACCGGGGATCATGCTTCCAACACGAATACATCCAACCACAACAGTATGCTGAAAGGGAGCAGTTGAGAGTTCAAGATTCAGGAGCCTGTCCCTTCTAGATGAGGTTTGTTACTTCAGCTTGGAAGTCACATGATCTTAGAAGAGTTCTTAAATATCTAGGTCTGTTTTCTCATTGTATCCGGATGTAACAATGCCTACCACATTTAGTGGTTATGAATATGAGGTGAGGTTACATGTGTAAAAATGTTTAATTTCCTGGTACGTAACAACTGTATAGTAAGTGTAAGTACAGCTGTCCCTGTTTTTAATTGTTCTATTTTTCTTGACACAGAGTTTTTGGCCCTGGCTATGTGTTGTAAGTTATGGTAGCTATGTGGCTTGGAGTGTGGAGAAGACAGACAGGAAAGAATTGGGCCCTCTACTAGTGTGTGTGAAGGGGGAGCAAGTCTAGACACATTTGCAGTTATTGAGCCAATATTCTACTTGGATTCTTTGTCTTCTCAAATTCGAACTGTAGTAGTTTAGAAGTAAGATTACTGAGGGAGTCCATCATACAGAGAAAAGTAACGGGATGTTTTTCCAGTTAATTTAATATGATGAACAAATGACATGATGGTCAGATGGAAATAGATTTGTTTCTCATTAACTCTGCTTGCTTGTGTGTTCGTGATGGTTCCAGCATTTTGCCTTGTGTTAGCCAGCACACAGCATCTCTTTGCAGAAGTCCGGCTATAATGTAACCTTTGTGTCCTCTTGGTTGGTGGTTGGTATTGATAGAATTACCTTCGCTGGTGATGGTTCCTGGGTTCCTGGTGCCGGAGTTGTTTTTTAGGTGGTTGCAGCTGGATGACTCTCAGTGAAAATATTTGGCGTATCTTTTCCAGTGACGCCCAATCATCCTGATCTGTCTCTACTTGCAAGGCTTTAATGCAGGTTACAAAAGGCAAACCTCAGCAAGCAAATGAATGGCTTCAGGCGTGATTCTTCTGAATAGCTATCAGGATAGTATTTGCCGTGTTTTGCATATGCATGTTGAAGCATATTTAAGGATCCATGAAAGCCGTGTCTCTCCTCCGAGGCCACTTCTCACCGGGTAGAAGTGGAGCTTCCTCCAGTCCTACTTTCATGGTCCTAGGACCCCATTCCAGGGCTGACCATGCAGAGCAGTAGCTACAGTTACCGTAGCAGTGACTCTGTGTTTACTAACACCACCAGCACTCGGACTAGTCTCGATTCGAACGACAATCTTCTGTCTGTTCATTGTGGCCCCACATTGATCAACTCCTGCATTAGCTTCGGCAATGAGTCCTTTGATGGGCACAGGTATGGAGTCGGTGGTGTGACTCGGTCGGTCTTTTCTTCCTTGGTGGCGGGGTTGTTTTTTCACGACTGGTGAGCTCTTTGACTTCAAAAAGAAGGACTTTTCCCCCCCCCCTTTTGTCTCTTTTAGGTTGGATATGCTGCAACAGATTGCTGTCCGAGTTCAGAGGGACAGTGTCATCTGTGAAGACAAACTGATCCTAGCCCGAAATGCTCTCCAGTCTGTAAGTTGGTTTCAGGAGCCAGGGCTTGCTGTAGAGGGGTGGTGTGTGCCTGGGTAAACCGGAACCTTCTGTATCATTTGATCGATTCCTGGTACTCCCTGCAGAAGCTCTGAAAGATTATGATTGATACTTTTTTCTCTTGGGAGGTAGTGAGTGAAAGAAAAACATATATTTGAACCAAAATAAATAAAGACCAAATTAGCTTCTCTTCTAATATTTTGGAGTTTAAAGCTAGTCTTGACATTTGTCTTTACAGAATTAATGCTTAGTTCTTTTAAATATAGGATTCCAAAAGATTAGAATCAGGAGTGCAGTTTCAGAACGAAGCAGAAATTGCCGGGTACATACTTGAATGTGAGAACCTTTTACGCCAGCATGTGATTGATGTACAGATCCTAATTGATGGGAAATATTACCAGGCAGACCAGCTGGTGCAGAGGTAAGACTGCTCCTTGTTTCCTCTCAGGAACTGTTTCCTGAGAGCATGATGGGAATGTATAGTAGGAAATCAAGTTCTATTTGTAAGTTGTAATATTTTGACAAAAATAAGTAGAATCAATATCTGCAATAAATATAATATTTACTGTCATAGTAAATACTGGAGTCATTAAAATGAATATTTTAAATGTCTATATTTTCCAAGTATGTAAAATATTTATGTAGATCTTTGGATGTGACCCAGAGGCAGAGTGAATATTTAACTAAGCATAGTTAAGGCCCTCAATTTGATCCTCAGACCAATAACACAACAACAACAATAATAATAATAATTTGCAACATTAGAAAAGGGAAAAATGTAAGAAAAGTTCCCATCTTCAGTTAGTCTTGTGTTTATTCTGTTGTAAACATGGTCAGAACCAAATATTAGAAAAATATGTGTATAAAATAGTAAAGGCATGGAGGCCAGAAAGATGGTTCAGCTGTTAAGAGCACTGACTGCTCTTCTAGAGTACCCAAGTTCAATTCCCAGCACCTACATGGTGACTCACCACTGTCTATAACTCCAGTTCCAGGGTACCTGACACCCTTACACAGACATACACACAGGCAAAACACCAGTGCACATAAAAATAAAATAAGTAATTTTTGGAGGGGCCCCCTGGTGGTAGGATCAGAATCCATCCCTGGTGCATGAGCAGGCTTTGTGGAACCCACTACCTATGATGGGACACCTCATGCAAAGGGGAAGGTCTTGGACTTGCCTCTACTGAATGTGCCTCCCCATGGGAGGCCTTGCCTTCTTGTGGGGGGGACGTGGGGAGGGAAGAGGGGGACCTTTGGTTGATGTGTAAAATGAATGATAAAATTTTTCTTAATAAAAATTGTTTTTTTAATTTTTAAAAAAATGGTAAAGCTGTGTATGGTGGCACCCATATGGATTCTGAGCTCTCCAAAGGCTTAGGTAAAAGAATCACAATTACACAACCCTGTAAGAGCTACATAGCAATACTCTGTCTCAAGGAGGAAAAAGTGAACAACAAATACGAAAACGTTTCTGAGAAGTTTGAGGGGGCAGAGAGAATAGAACTTGGCAAGCTGTAGTCTCTATATATATATGAACATAAGAAAACAAACTTTGTACATCATGTTTGAGCCAATCATTTCACTTCTAGGAGTTAGGAGCTCTTCTCTATGTGGATAATAAGTAGATACAATTGGACAACTTTATGTTCACGCCAGGAGTATTTTGTAAGAAATTTTATTATCCTTAATATCAAATAATAGAACCATCACCTTATGGTACATAATTATGTTCCCTATAAATGATGGTTATAAAGACTAATAATGTGGAGAGTTTTTATAGTCTGATATTCAGTGAAAACAAAACATCAGGCAAAATTTTACCAAGATGGTTTTAGTGATGTTTTTAAAACCAAATAGGTATTTCTCGAGCAGTGTAGGTTTGCAGAACAACAGCGGAAAGCAGAACTCCTGTATGCGTGGTTGGGTTCCCCCACCGGTAGAGGCTGGCAGTAGTGGTGCATGACTGATTCCACTGCACAGCCAGTCTTGGTGCATCAGCTACAGCCAGCAGTTTACATTGCCTCTTCAGTCATGCCTTATCCCTCTCCATGTTTCTGCAGGGTTGCAAAGCTGCGGGACGAAATTATGGCCTTAAGGAACGAGTGTTCCTCAGTGTACAGCAAAGGACGCATGCTGACCACAGAGCAGACGAAACTCATGATATCAGGAATCAGTCAAAGTTTAAACTCAGGATTTGCACAGACCTTACACCCCAGTCTGAACTCAGGGCTAACCCAGAGTTTAACACCTTCCTTGACCTCTTCCAGTGTGACTTCTGGCTTGTCATCAGGGATGACTTCCCGTCTGACTCCATCCGTTACTCCGGCTTACACGCCTGGCCTCCCATCAGTGGTAGCTCCAAATTTCAGTTTAGGAGTAGAGCCAAATTCATTACAGACTCTGAAGCTAATGCAGATCAGAAAGCCCCTGCTGAAGTCGTCTTTGCTGGATCAGAATTTGACAGAAGAGGAAGTCAATATGAAATTCGTTCAGGATCTCTTGAACTGGGTTGATGAGATGCAGGTAAGGTTTATCGCAGTTCCCCAGTCTTACTCTTGTGACAACGTCTCCTTTTTTTTTTTTAAACTGGTATTTTGCTCTTGAAGGTGCAGCTGGACCGCACTGAATGGGGCTCAGACTTGCCAAGTGTTGAAAGCCATTTAGAAAACCATAAAAATGTTCACCGAGCCATTGAAGAATTTGAAACTAGCCTTAAGGAAGCTAAACTTAGTGAGGTCTGTGAAATTTTTAAAAATATTTTATTGTAGTTGGGTATTATTTCCTTTTTACATAAAAACCTTATAACTCGATGATTAATATATTAAGTATTAGTCAGAACTTAAGATTCCTAACATCCATGTTTTCCTACCTTATTCTAGATTCAGATGACGGCGCCTCTTAAGTTAACTTACACAGATAAGTTGCACAGATTAGAGAGTCAATACGCAAAACTGTTGGTAAGTTTTTTTTTTTTAATTTGTTTTCTTTAAACTCTCTCTTTCCATCATGTCTGTTTACATGGCCATCTGATGCTTAACAATGGTTTTTCTTAAACAGAATACATCCAGAAACCAGGAGCGGCACCTTGATACGCTCCATAATTTTGTAACACGGGCAACTAATGAACTTATCTGGCTGAATGAGAAGGAAGAGGAAGAAGTTGCTTATGACTGGAGCGAGAGAAACACCGGCGTGGCTCGAAAGAAAGGGTACCATGCGGTGAGTCGGCCTCGCGCTCGGGAGCCAGAGCTGGACCTGGAGCTCACCGCCCACGAGCTGTTCTGACACACTTCTTGATGCTTCCTCACTAGGAGCTCATGAGAGAACTCGAGCAGAAGGAGGAAAGTATTAAAGCCGTCCAGGAGGTCGCAGAGCAGCTGCTTCTAGAAAATCACCCAGCCCGCTTGACTATCGAGGTAAGAAATTCAGAGGTCTAGACTGAGTTCTCAAATGTCTGTCAACTTAAACCTCTTTCACTCATTAAAAAAAAAAAAAATCCAACTACTAAGTGTTGATACTAGAGTCTGGCTCAGAGATAACTTTCCCAGTGAATCCTGCTGCTGCTTCTCTTCATCGTCCCTTAGGATCAAGGTAGCAGCTTTTTTTTCTAGGGCCCGTGAAGCTGCTTTGAGTAAATGCATCCGATGAGGTTGAAGGGGTGTTCCATGGTCGAGTGTGTACTTGCCGTGTGTAACAGACAGAAATTTAGCTTAGCTTGAGGAAGCAAATAATATCGCATGTTGCTAGATTCCCAGGGCCAACTGCACATCTGCAGGAAAGCCTGCCTGAGCACAACTCAGAAGCCCTGGGTTCATTCCAGGAGGAAGAAAGGACAGGCTGAACACACCATGGACACGGAGCTCCCTCTCCTGGGAGGCAGGGGTTTGCACCTTCTATAAAACTGAGTTTTATAATTCATGAGGATCTAGGTGTGCTTTCTACAGTTTCTTTTATGAAAGATATACTTGTATTTAATAATAAACATTCAAATAGCTGAGTGTCTAAATTTTTGTTATTATAATAGTAGTAAACCCGATAGTTGCACTGATGTGAGAGTGTATGCTGCCTTCTCTACCCTCCCTAAGTCTCCCTCATCAAAACACAGAAGGAAACTACAGATCTGTGTGTCTGTGTTAACACACACCTGGTGTGGCTTCTGTGTGTCTGTGTTAACACACACCTGGTGTGGCTTCTGTGTGTCTGTGTTAACATACACCTGGTATGACTTCTGTATGTCTGTGTTAACACATACCTGGTATGGCTCTGTAATATAAAAACCCAGAAATGGGGCGTTTGGGGATGCCATAGAGAAAAGCATACTTAGTATTTTAAAAATCAGGTGTCAGGGTTAGTGAGCAAAGAGTAAAGAAAAGGGAGTAGCTTGCATTTATTTCAGCTGTAAATTTTTCATATAAAATGGCCATAATTTTTCCTCATTCTAAGAAAAAAAATCAAGAAATTAGAAATTTGAGAAAATTTGTCTCGACTGATTTTAAAATCGTGTACAAATTTTAAGACTAACCGCATAAGGAAGGCTCTCATATTAGAAATCTGCTACCCCGGTTTTCACTGTTGAGTCCATTAGGAATTGTTTCCATCTGTTTGTCATTTGAAGCCATCAACCCTGAGCTGGGCATGATGGCTCTCACCTGCAATTCCAGCCTGTAATGAGAAGCTGAAGCAAGGGGATTACCACAAGCTTGAGGATAGCCTGTGCTAAGTGACATCCTGTCTTTTAAAAAAAAAAAAAAAAAACTAAAAATAAATAAATAAATGCATCAATAGTTGCTGTGCAGGGCATCACACCACAGATGTTCTGCATGCAAGGTGCATGCTCGGCTGTTGAGGCAGACTAGCGCTCTGTACCTGAGTTCTCTGCCCTGGCTTTCAGCGTGTGTTTTCTCTCCCGTCAGGCGTACAGAGCAGCGATGCAGACCCAATGGAGCTGGATCTTGCAGCTCTGCCAGTGTGTGGAGCAGCACATCAAGGAGAACACTGCCTATTTTGAGGTGTGTGAGTTGGACTGCAGCCTGCACAGACCGCACCGCCCTCTGGGCTGAGGTGCAGAAATCTCACTATCGCGAAGCAAGCGCCTAACACATGGGGGCATGAACTTTCCTTACAGGACATCCGGGCTGGTTTTGTGTCTTAGAGGGGAAAGGTTAGCTGTTAAGGAAGAGATCCTGGGGCTGGAAGACGGGTCAGCTGACACATTGTTTGCCCAGAGTTCAACCCCCAGAAACCACACTTAAAAAAAAAAGTGAGCTGCCCAGTGCTGAGGGCAGGTAGAGACAGGAGGATCCCTGGGGCTCCCTGGCCAGCCAGTCTAGCCAAATGAGAGAGCCCTAGGTTCAGTGAGAGACCTTATCTCAAAAAATAGGGGAGAGAGAAGTGAAGAAAGCTCCCAGTTGTTGACACCTGATTTACACATACGCACGCACGCACGCACGCACGCACGCACGCACGCCCATACAGAACGAGTCTTTTATAAGACCTTTAAATATTGTAAAAATAATTCTAAAAATTTTCCTTACATTAAGGGAAGTTATTATAGTCAACCAAATAACGACTTCATTTTATTCTTTAGAAATTTTAATGTATTCTTTGCAATTCCACACCTACTTAAAAGATTGGTTGAGCCCTAAAGTAAAACAAACATCCAATCAAAATAATACAGAGCCAAAGCATAATAACATGTACAGTTTGGATAATTAATATTCATCTGTAGCCATTCAAGTTCAAAGATTATTTTCAGTTCCACAAAGGATGTTGCATTAAGTTCCTTTGTGCTTTGATTCTGTTCCCCCTAGTCAGGGGCACACAGAGGGCCTGAGCACCCAGATTGAACGACTGTCTGCCTTCCTGGCATTCAGTGTAATTCAGCTGTCAAGTTTTATCTTTCCTTAGTTTTTCAATGATGCCAAAGAAGCCACTGATTACCTAAGGAATCTGAAGGATGCCATTCAGCGCAAGTACAGCTGTGACCGATCCAGCAGCATTCACAAACTGGAAGACCTCGTTCAGGAGTCCATGGTACTGATGTGGAAACTGTAGATTGTGTCCTATATGTAATGGGGTAGATTAGTGATTTATTATATGTCCGTATGTGTAGATTTATAGTTCATCAACACTAGTAGCTCATTCAATTAAGCCTTTACTTGGTTTAGTTTTTGATAATAGTAGTGTATTTTATATGGTGTTGTTAAAACTGCTTTAGCAGTGATGTGTATGTAGTCAATAATCCCACAAGGAGATCCTTGGTGGACACCTTCTGTGTCGGCCCAGGCCTGTTTTCAGTTCTGGAGATTATAACCATGAACAAACAGGCAGGAATTGCTCTCCCTTGTGGTGCCTACATGTGAAAGGGCAGCCGCACAGTAATATGTCAATGAACAAAATGTATGGAGAATGTTGGATAACAATAATGCCAAAGAGGAAAAGAAGTAACCAGGCAAAATGAGGATTTTGACCAGACAAATTTGAGGGATTCGAGACAGGGTGCCGAGATGTAGAGAGTGTAGTCCAGTGGTCAGGGCATGCTTTGATGACGAAGTTTCATATGTGTAAATCCCTGGGGAATGGAGGAGAGTTTGAATCATTCGTTTTCAAAGCCCGCTGTGTTTCCTGACTAGGAGGAAAAAGAAGAGCTTCTGCAGTACCGGAGCTCGGTGGCCGGCCTCATGGGGAGAGCAAAGACAATAGTACAGCTGAAGCCCAGGAGTCCTGACAATCCACTCAAAACCTCCATTCCCATCAAAGCCATCTGTGACTACAGACAGATTGAGGTATGGTCCTTCTTAAAGCAGGCCAGATTCTGCCATTAATCCACGTACTTTAAAAAAGGAGGTCATAATGCTTCCTAGTTATAAGACTTTTCTCTGCCTCCTAAAAACAATAATTCCCAAGATTGTGTTCAGAAGATGAGTGACTGGTGACCTCAGTTTTTGTCTCTTTCATTTGAAACCAGATAACCATTTACAAAGACGATGAATGTGTTCTGGCAAACAATTCTCATCGCGCCAAGTGGAAGGTCATCAGTCCTACTGGGAACGAGGCTATGGTCCCATCTGTGTGTTTTACTGTTCCCCCGCCAAACAAAGAAGCAGTTGACTTTGCAAACAGGTTTGTATAGTTTGGGATCTTTATGAAGGTTAAAGAAGCAATCAGTACTTTGTCAGGGACCCACAGGACTGGAAAATTCTAGAGCTGGTCCATCGGGGGCAGCATGTTTTCAGAAGGAGTAAAAAGGCTTAGAATGTTTTTTTTTTTTTCCTGCTGTCTTTCAGAATTGAGCAGCAGTATCAGAATGTCCTCACCCTTTGGCATGAATCTCACATAAACATGAAGAGTGTAGTCTCCTGGCATTATCTAGTGAATGAGATTGACAGAATTCGAGCCAGTAACGTGGCTTCGGTGAGTACAAGTGTGCACATTAACCCAGTGTATCTAAAAATTAGGGGTGCCTTGTCATGTGTGGTGTCAAGTTGGCATCTGCTCTGGAAAAGCATGGGGCCCAGCAGATGCTGACATTCAGCAGACAGTGAGTTCTTGTTAGGGTCTGTCGTAGATGAGGCACACTCTACAGGTGAGAGAAATCTGGAGCTCATGCTCTCTCTGCTTGGTGCTTACTGAAGGTAAGAAATCAGAAATAACTGGATAGTGGTAGCACACGCCTTTAATCCCAGCACTCAAGGAGGCAGAGGCAGGTGGATCTCTGAGAGTTTGAGGCCAGCCTGGTCTACAGCCAGTTACACAGAGAAACCCTGCCTTGGAAAAAAAAGAAAAAAGGAGGAGGAAGAAAAAATAATAATTAGAATTAGGTGTTCAGACAGACAGAGTGGGTATATTTTAATTTCATTTATTGAATTTTATCAATGTTTTTACTTGTCTTTTAATTAAAACTTTATTGTAAAGAACTTGCAAATGAAAAAAGTCATACTCCCAAATTAGCACACCCAAAGTCTATACATCTCAAGGAACTTCTGTATGGTTAGAATAGCCATTCTGAAGCTGTGGAACTTCACAATGAATTTCACTCTTTACCATCAAACTTATTCAGTATTCACTTACCCATCACAAAACCCAAGAAACCATGACAGAGTTGAAACAGAGAACCAAGCAGCTTTATGTCTTCTTTCCTGACTCCAGTGTCCTTTGCCTGCATTCAGTCCTTGCTCACCTGTGGTATTTACCCTTTCTTATTCGACTTTCTACATGGTATACTGTACACACGTGCACATTGTTTTCTTATCTACATATGTATTATAGGATAGGCCCCACACATGAGGGAGAACTTTTATCTTTCTGAGATTGGGTGACTTCCCTTAATATTATATGTCTTCCCATTTTGTACAATTTTTATTACATTTTATATATTTACTTAATTTCATTATCCATTCATCTACTGATGGAAAATTAGGTTGGTTCCATTTCTCTGCTATAGGGTGCAAACCTGAAATAAATAGAATATTAATTTCAGATGTTTCCTCTACCTGTGAATAAACTGAAGTATACCATGATATCAATTGTGATCCAACCCATTCAGATGTAACCCTGGGCACTGCGTCATTAATCAAAGGATCTTTGTTCTTGCAGATCAAGACAATGTTGCCTGGCGAACACCAGCAGGTTCTGAGTAATCTCCAATCCCGTTTGGAAGATTTTCTGGAGGATAGCCAGGAATCCCAAATATTTTCAGGCTCGGATGTATCTCAGCTAGAAAAGGAGGTGAATGTTTGTAGGAAGTATTATCAAGAGCTTCTCAAGTCTGCAGAAAGAGGTAAAAAGGGGTGCCAGTTTATTTTCCCTGCAGGAGTTTCATCCAGGCTTTTTTTCTATTTTCATTGGCAATCTCAGTCTTAGGTATATTGCATCAGTGGGCTGTGATATGTAAGCAAGATTACTGAGCACTATAGAAATTTGTGTGTGCGGGGCATATAACTCAGGAGCAGGCATGTCTGAAGCCCTGAGTCCAGTCCCCAGCACCACCAACAACAAACAAAGCTTTTGAGTTAAGAAGATGCTAGAAGAGATCATTAATTTCTAAATGATGAAGTAACTAAAGGTGCCAGCCAAACAGTGGAACAGATGAGGAGTTCTTATCTCATCTGAGTTTTAATGTTTGTCCTGCTTTTCAGGGCAACACTCAGAATGAAGGTCCTTAAGGCTCATAAAAGATTTGATTATTTTCTCAGTTCAGTTTTACACAGTAGTTAAATACTTTAGTTAGTTAGTAAATAAATACTTTATTTAGTTAACTTTTATTCAGTATAAATCTTAGTCTGAACTCTTAATACTATTTAAAAGCAAATGACTTTATTAGTACTAGTCTTTTAAAATCTTAAAACAGTAACACTTTCTTTACCTGCTTTTTACTTTTGGATTTTTGTTCAATTTAATGGTTAATTGATAGCATATAATTCATATTTTTGTGAATATAAAACAGAATAATATATTGCTTCTTTGGGATATTTGCATGATAATTTGGTACTTTAAATGGCCTTTGGGAAATTTGATTAGTAATTTTTAAGTTTTAAAATTCCCATTTTAAGATTTCTGTTTTAAGGTTGTATCTTTAGGATTTCTGCTAATAGGAACAGTGGTAAGAGTGGTTTGCCTCAGGAAGAATAAAGCTGGTGTATTGAACCTTGCACAAGAGCTCCCTAGGGAGGAGAGGCCTCTTGCTGAACATGTTTGCTTTCACAGAGGAGCAAGAGGAATCAGTGTATAATCTTTACATCTCGGAAGTGAGGAACATCCGGCTTCGGTTGGAGAGCTGTGAAGACCGCTTAATTCGGCAGATACGGACTCCCCTGGAAAGAGACGACTTACACGAAAGCATGTTCAGAATCACGGAACAGGAGGTAAGAGTTACACGTGTTAGAAAACCCGAGTTGGAGGTTTAGGTCAAGGGAATAAACAATAAAGACATTACTGATTCTAAAGCTGGAATGTCATGCTTCTGTTTATTCAGTAAAGAAAAGTTATATGGATGCTTATGTTACGTTGGCCATGACTTAAAATGTATTTTTAAGCAGCTGTTAGAAACATACCCACTTGGGGGTGATAACCTGTAATCTCCATTTGTTCTCTTGACTAGAAACTAAAGAAAGAGCTGGAACGGCTTAAAGATGATTTGGGAGCGATCACTAACAAGTGTGAAGAATTCTTCAGTCAAGCGGCAGACTCCCCATCTGTCCCCACTCTGCGGTCAGAGCTCAGTGTGGTCATTCAGAGCATGACTCAGATCTACTCCATGTCTTCCACTTACATAGAGAAGTATGTTAACATGACATCTGCATGCCACCGTCACTCTGACTTTATGAACAGTGTGTTTTATCATCAGAAACTGGACTGATGATGTTTCTCATGTCAAGGGGGAGTTAGTTACCTTGCAGATTACTGTCCCCCACATTTCTGTTTTGTAGCTCACTGTCGGTAGTCTTCCTGGTTTTCCTCTCTTGGGTAGTGTGACCGAGGAACCGTCTTCTGTTAGAATCTGTAAATACTACCTGGGGGTGGGGCATAGGGTGGTGTCTATTAGGAAGAGAGTCAACTGGATGCCAGACTTACAGAAGTCCAGCCAGTGTTCCCATGCCATGAGTCATAATGATGCTTTAAGACTACAGTATGCAACAAAGAAAAAAGGACAAGCATTAAACAGCATGGTCTAATATGTATTTCTCTTTTAAAGGTTGAAAACAGTTAATTTGGTATTGAAAAACACTCAGGAGGCAGAAGCCCTCGTCAAACTCTATGAAACCAAACTGTGTGAAGAAGAAGCAGTAATAGCTGACAAGAATAATATTGAGAATCTAATGAGTACTTTAAAGGTAAGAGTCTCACTTCTGGACATGCTTTCAAGGTCATAGTTCTAAATATTTCTCTAGCACAGAGCCCAAGTTCCAAACACCCAACACTAAGCATCTGGCGTAGAATATGTTTCTGAATGTACCATCTCCATTTCGTATTCCTAATTCTACAACTTCCTGTAAATAAGTATATTCAGTCATTTTATCATAAGTCACTGTTCTGTTGCTGTGAAGAGACAGCATGGCCAAAGCAATTTATAAAATAAAGCATTCATTTGGGGGCTTGCTTACAATTGTAGAGAGTAGAGTCCATAGTCATCATGGTGAGGAACGTGGTAGCAAACAGTCAGGCATGCATGGCGCTGGTGTGCAGTAGCTGAGAAGTTACATCTAATCCACAAGCCCAAGGCAGAGAGAGAGAGAGAGAGAGAGAGAGAGAGAGAGAGAGAGAGAGAGAGAGAGAGAGAAGGAATGAGAGAGAGAAAATGAGAGATGAGAGAGAAAGAATGAGAGAGCATCTGGGTGTGGCTTGGCCTTTTGAACCCTCAAAGCCCACCCCCAGTGACACGCCTCCTCTAAGGCCATGCCCCCCTAAGCCTTCCCAAACAGTTTTACCAGCTGTGGACCATGCATTGAAATACTTGAACCTTTAGGGGCCGTTCCTATTCAGACCACCCCAGGGGTGTTCTTGTTTGAGATCTGAACCTCTGTCAGTAGCTTTTCTGAGTGGCTTTGTATTGGCAGTAAGATGAGTTTGTAGCCAATTGATTTGCTTAAAGGGGGCAGTTATTCTAAGACATCAAAGAAGTAAAGGAATATTTTATTAATATTTTTAAATTTTTATTTTATGTATTTGAGTGTTTTACCTGCTTGTATGTCTGTGAGCCAAGTCTCATGGAGGCCAGAGGGGGCATGGGATCCTCTGGAACTGTAACTACAGATGGTTGTAAACCACCATGTGGGTGCTGGAAGTGGAACCTGGGTCTTCTGGAAGAGCAGCCTGTGGTCTGAAACACTTGGTCATCTCTCCAGCCTTAGAAGTTATTTTGAGAAAGAAAAAAATATTCACTACTGTACTCTCTATTTTTTATTTTTAAAAATTTACTCTGTGTGTGTGTGTGTGTGTGTGTGTGTGTGTATGTGTGTGTGTGTGTGTCTCACTCAAATGCCATGATGCATGATTGTGGAAGTCAGAAGAGAATTTGCAGGAATCAGTTCTCGCTTTCCACCTTGTGGTTCTGGGGATCAAACTCAGCTCATAAAGCATGTCAGCAAGCACCCTGAAGTAATGAGCCATCTCACAGGCCCCTATATCTATATTTCTGTATGTAAAGCATTTAGCAAGGCTGTTGCAAAAACACTGAAGTTATTTCAGTCATTTTAAGCTTGTATTAATTTTTAAACAATGGAATTGGAAGCATTTAAAAACAATAAAAAAGACTTTTCTTATTGTGGCATAAGTATTGCTTATGAAATACTCTTTTTGACACATAAATTTTGTTGACACATAAATTCTACTAGGCTGGATTTTATAGACTTCTTTTAGATTTTTATAATCTTTAATTGAGAAATATGAATTAAGCATGCTTGATTTTTGTTTGTGTTGACACATCTCTATGAAATGTTACCCCTCCCCCTTCTTCCTTTTCCCCATTAAGTGACATAAGTGTCTCTCACAGTAACATGTTATTTTTTCAGAGATCAAAGCACAGTTAGATAATTGTCATTGTATAAGATTATACCTGATACATTTTCAATATCATAGGTTTTTCTTTATCTGGTTGTACATCACGTAGTTATGAATAAATTGTAACGTTAGGTAAATTATGTGTTTACTCTATGACTTATGGATACATTTCGTGATGCTCACCGATGTGTGTATTTTAGCAATGGCGGTCAGAAGTAGATGAAAAGAGAGGGGTGTTCCATGCATTGGAGGACGAGTTGCAGAAAGCAAAAGCCATCAGTGACGAGATGTTTAAGGCACACAAAGAGCGGGACCTTGACTTTGACTGGCACAAAGAAAAGGCGGACCAGCTGGTTGAAAGGTGGCAGAATGTCCATGTGCAGATTGACAACAGGTGGGTCCCCTTTCTGTTCAGTGCCTGTGGGGGTTGGATCCCCTTTGTGTACAGAGGGCAAAGTCTAAATTTAACAGGCTTTAACTGACATTCCATAGCTAATATGTTAATTGTAGAACTATTTCCTAATTACATTTCTTTCTTACATATGCACTTTAACAACACATGTAACTTGAAAGAAACATTTTCTTTTCTCTTTCTTTCAGTTCTGTTTTTATTTTATGTGTATGGGTGTTTTGCCTGCATGTATGTATGCCTATGTTCCACATGCATACCTGGTTCCTGAAGAGACCAGAGGAGGGCATTGGATCACTGGAACTGGAGGTACAGACGGTTGTGGACCTCCATGTGGGTCCTGGGAATCGAACCTAAATCATCTGTAAGAGCAGCCAGTGCTCTTAATGCTGAGCCACCTCTCCAGCTCCAGAAAAACAACATTTTCAACTATGTATAATTAAAAATGTTGATGTATCTTGGTGTCTTAGGGTTTCGATTGCTGTGAAGAGACACCATGACAACTCTCATAAAGGAAAACATTTAATTGGAGTGGTTTATAGTTTCAGAAGTTAAGTCCATTATCATCAAGGTGGGAAACATGGTGGCATGCAGGCAGGCATGGTGCTGGAGAAGGAGCTCTACATCTTGATTCACAGGCAACAGGATGTAAACTGTGTACCACACTGAGCATAGCTTGGACTAAGGAGATCTCAAAGCCCACCCCCACAGCGGCACACTTTCTCCAACAAGGCCACACCTCCCAACAGTGCCACTCCCTATGAGCTTATGGGGGCCAATTACATTCAAACTACCATACCTCACGTTTGTATAATCTGTCTTTTTAAAAGACAATAATATAATGTTCTAAAAGTTATTATGAACTTACAGTGTTCAAATAACCATGAATTAGCAAAATAAATCATAAGCTTGTTTCTTGGGCTCTGCATAGCAATTTCTGCTGGACCTAAGAGAAGTGAAGGACTTGAAGTGACCTGTTACTCATTTTCTATGACATTGTAAGACAACTGGAATCATTTGTTCAAAGAGAATTAAAACCCAGAAGAAAATGGAATTGATTTAGGTTTTATCTTAAAAGAAATAAATAATGGCCGTTCTTACTCATTTTATGTTTATATTAATACAAATTAAATGCTTTTATGACATAGTATGATTCAAGAAATGAAGTTATAGTCATATGTATTTTTTCTCTGGGAGATACACAATGAATTTGTTTAATGTGGTGACTTTAAAAATCATAGAAATGGGTGTTTAATTTCAATTCCTGGAAGACACTCTCTGAGACCATGTTGAACCAACCATCCATTGAATTGCATTCTTCTTCCAAAGGTGAACTATGATTTGAGGCAAGCCTCAGCTGTTCAGGACATGTTGACTGGTTATAATGATGGCTAATTTCCTTCTTTTTCAGCTTTAATCTTAATGCTATAGTAGGGCAGCAGCACCAGTGAACTTCACAGCTCCCGGAGCTGTCTGGGGTGCCCCAGGAATCTGTCTCAGGCTGCTGCCGCACATCTACCCTGTTGTGCTTAGTGGCTCTTGGGTCTCACCTTGTGGTTTCCTCTTCCCAGACCCTTCTTCACCCCTCCTGCTGGAGTCTGACTGTCGGTTGTTCTTGCAGGCTTCGGGACTTAGAAGGAATTGGGAAATCACTGAAGTACTACAGAGATTCCTATCACCCTCTGGATGATTGGATCCAGCAAATAGAAACTACCCAGCGAAAGATGCAGGAAAACCAGCCAGAAAACAGCAAAGCCCTGGCCTTACAGCTGAATCAACAGAAGGTATACCAAGAAATCCTTGTACTGAGGTTCTGTCTGCATTTGGTTGGCCATGAGCCTTATCTTCCTCTCTTCTGTTGGAAGAAAGGGCAATTACTTGGACAACCATAGGGAATAACAATTTGTATGAGGATTCTACACCCCAAACCTGCCTTTGTTTATTTGTTATTTCCTGGAAGTCACTTTTGAAGGCATAGGAAATGAACAGTGTGTTGGGGTAGTTTTCACATACCTCATCTTCCTGGTTTCATAGGCTGGGTCTAATTTTCTTGACACTGTTCTAACAACATAGTTTTATGCTTACTGAATTAATAAACGTGGCCAGAGGTAGTAGACAAAAGCCCAGTCACACCTGATGGAAAACTGAGTGTTTGAAGGTTTTTGTTTCATCATTAGGAGCCAGTAATGTCTAACCCTGTTTTCATCTGGGGCGGGTGTAATGAAGGACACCGCATCTGCTCTGCATGATTCTCATTTCTGCTCTGACAGCCTCACGAGGCTAACCGCTAGGAGTCTTATTCTGGAAGTGTGCTATTTATCCGTACGTCAGGGCACATGTGAGGTCTGAAGCACCGAGACATACAGCGTGGAGTGACAGGGACATCTTCCAGTTCCTGAGCATGAGGGGGAATGGTGTAGAATTCCCATCTTTTCCTCTAAACTGTGTTTACAGATGCTGGTGTCAGAAATAGAAGTGAAACAGAGCAAAATGGATGAATGTCAGAAATATTCCGAGCAGTACTCAGCCGTGGTAAAGGTGAGTAAAGTCACTTACTTGAGGCAAATTTAATATTTAGGTATGTGGGGCTGTAGCATATTTTTAAAGCAATTCAAATCATTCATCCTGTGTTAAAAGAGCATGTAGATCTTTTTTCAAACCTCATTCAGGCCTTTTTTATACTTAGCTAATAATTCTTTAAGAAATGAGTCCTGGGACAGCCCTGACTGGCTCACTTTCACTGTCTCCATGAAGGCATAAAAATGTACACACACCCTAAACATATATCTCTGAAACTTGCTTATTATTTTTTTTCCTTTTTTTTTCCTTTAAAATTGAGCGAACATTTAACTTGTACTTAAGAGATGCTGTCATATTTTTAGAGGCTATTATTGACAGTCTTAGCTTCCCAGCTCCACAGCTCTGTTGTCGATGTGGAAGAAGTAGAGGCTGCCTCTACCAAGAGTATTCTGAAGTACATGCTTTTGTGGCTTCTAAAGACAGTTGGGGTCTTTGCTGAGCATTGTACATGTCTCTGTTGATGTCACCACCTTACAAGTATCTCTAGGACCAAATAGATTTTAAAGATTTAGTTTTCATCATTTATGTCTTTATTTAAACTTAATTCAGTGAACTACGTTCCAATTCTCTGGGGTCAGTCACTGTGGAATGAAGCCTTCAGGCTTTGCTTTAATTAATTTTCTCATATTGACTCTGGGATGCAGGACTATGAATTGCAAACAATGACCTACAGGGCCATGGTGGATTCACAGCAGAAGTCTCCAGTGAAACGCCGGCGGATACAGAGCTCAGCAGACCTCATTATTCAAGAGGTAACAAATAGAGAAGAGCAGCGGTCAGGCCGAAAAGAGAGAAACATTTTAAAAACAGTTTTACTTTTATCACAGTAAAACATACCTTATATAAAATTGGCTGTCTTAATTATTTTTAAGTGATTTAATGCAATTATAGAATATCACAATTTTGTACATTCATCACTATTCACTTCTAATACTTTTTTTTTTTTTAAACCATCCCTTACAGAAAGTTGTAGTTGGACTTTCTTGTTAGACTTTTTGGACTGCCAACCCCCAAATAATGATACAGAGACTTATTATTAATTATGAAAGCTTGGCCTTAGCTTAGGCTTTTTCCCAACTAGCTTTTATAACTTAAATTAACCTGTTTCTATTAATGTACATTCTATCATGTGGCTCAGTTACCTCTCCTCTCTACCGTATGTCCAGCTCTTCATTGTCTCACTGGAGTCTCTCCCATGCCTAGATTCATCCTGAGTTCCTCTCTCTGCCCGGAAGTCCCACTTAGTCTCTCCTGCCTAGCTATTGGCCATTCAGCTCTTTATTAAACCTATCATAGTGACACATCTTCACACAGTGTAAACAGATATTCTACAACAGAAAGTCCTGTGACACTGCATTTTATTAAGTCTCTTAAAAAAACTCTTACAGGGTGGTGGTGGCGCAGGCCTTTAATCCCAGCACTCAGGAGGCAGAGGCAGGTGGGTCTCTATGGGCTATTACACAGAGAAACCCTATCTTGAAAAAACAAAAATAAGCAACAACAAAAAACCTTTTAAAATAAAGTTTTTTGCTTGTTTGTTTGTTTGTTTGTTTAAATTTTTGCCAGGGAGGTTGGGGTAGAGAAAGGGTTTCTGTGTCCTGACTGTCCTGGAACTCATTCCATAGACGAGGCTGGCTTCAAATTCAGAGAGAGCTGCCTGCGTCTACCTCCTGAGTGCTGGGATTAAAGGTGTATGCTACCACTGCCCAGCTAAAGATCATTTATTAATGCAGAAAAAAAATGTACTTCATGATTAAACTTACAAGTTATGGCTTAATGTGGTATACAAGAGAGTAGCAAGCTCCTTCATTACTCCTGAAATGCCTCTCACAAGCTCATTACTCCTGAAATAATGCCACTCACTGTTGGGTAAGTGTGTGCTTTGTTCTTCAAAGTCCAGTTGGTAGTGTGGGCATCACTCAGAGTTCCCTCAACTCGTTAGGAACAGAGATAACGTTCATATCATTTCTGCCTTGCAGTTCATGGACCTGCGGACTCGATACACTGCCCTGGTCACTCTCATGACACAGTATATTAAATTTGCTGGTGATTCACTGAAAAGGCTGGAAGAGGAGGAGGTAACCATCAACAGTGGACATCCGAGGAAACAGGAACTAGATTGGAGCAGTAACTGTAATGTTTGGGGAAGGCAAAAATGGGCTTCATTCTAAAATGGTCAATAGTTAATACTCAGTAGTTAATTAGAAGCTTAAACTGGGAAAGAGGGAAAGCCTTGAACATTTGTTAGTTTGTTTATTTTTTAGATTCTCCAAAACAGAAAAGCATTTTTAAATTTTTACTTCAGATGGACTAGAGTATTTGCTTAACCATGCTTTAGTTCTGGGTTTGATCCCCAAAACCTCAAAAGCAGGTCCTTCAGAACCCTAACATGATAGAGTTAGAGTCATAAATGGTTCCATTTCAACTGGAAGATTTTGGCATTTAGGCAGAATTTTGTTCATCTTCCTCACGGCTGAGAAATTATTTCCTTCAATGGCACCTGCTGCTCAGTCTGTAGATATGCAGTATGTAAACGTGTGTGTTATGCATTTGAACTAATGTGCATCTTTAAGAATTAAGATTATTACAATTAATTAAAAAGAAAAACAGTAGTAGATACTTATATAAAAGAATGGACTTTTTAATAATTGGTGGAGTTTTACCCTTTGTGTTTTTGCCCAAAAATTATACGTGATTAGAAGGGGTAAGTATGGTTCCGATTTGAAGGACTCCTGCAGCTTTGATCTGGAATTTAAAATTGTGTTGAGTAATAGGAAGAATAAGAAATTATCTGTAAAAGTATATAACCTGAAAGCCCATTGATTGCCATCTTGAAGGGATTATACTCTGCTCATTTCTTTGGATGGCCTTTCTTTTCCTCGTCCCAGAACAGACAAAAATAGTTTAAAGAATGCTAAAATGTGTAAATGGTTAAATTTGGGGCCTGGCCATCGTAATTGGACTGTTGAAATTCTACAGGTGTCGCTACCTGATCGAGTGTTGCTTATGTATTGAAAGAACAAACGGTCACCAGTGCCTGGGAGATGGTGCTTACTTTCTTAGCTTCTGGAATTGGGACTCTCTTATAAACCATTTTAGTCTGTTGGGAGTCAACTTTTTTCTGCACTAACCCACTAATGTATATACTTAAAGATTTATAACACCTCCCTTATGCTTCCAAGGAGCCCAGAGTGCTTGTAGCTCCTTTAGTAAATATAATGCACTTATGTGTGAAAGAACTTTCTTATTTTCACTACATTTTGAAAGATGTTATTCCATTTTAAGTAGTGTACATGTCTTTTAAATTTTACGTGCAGTTGTTAAACATAAAATCATTTAAGTCCTTTTCTATTCTCATGGTATAAATCTAATTGTACATATGTGGGCCGCTCAGCTCAATTCCTGCAATAAGATGGAAGATGACAGAAACAAAGATTTTCAAAGACTTCAGTACTAATTATTACTGAAGCACTGAAGAGTTATAGAGAGTTGAAAATACAAACAATATAGTTTTGAAGATACACAAAGACTATAATTTATAATAAAATGTAATACCCTTCTGTTTATTAATATTAATGAACTGTCCTTTAAAAGATAGGGAGTTTTAGACCCCAGAGAATAGTTCTTCTGAAACAGTCTTGAAGAGCCACAGAATAAACTGCCCTGAGAGCAGAATTTTTCATAGTCAGCATATAAGCAAATCTGTGTAAATTTCAGAAGTAACCAAATATGTTAAAGGAATCTAGGACATTGGCTTAGCTCTATATTTGATACAGTGATGGAATTCTGTAGCCAATGCAAAGACCCAGCTCTAGAAATTGATCTCACTGCATAAAGAGACCCTTTGAAGGAGTGTTTTTTTATGAGTAAGTTTGTTGTCTACAAGATGAAAAATCAGTAATTGACCTAAACTATTTAAAGTAATTTTAAGCATGTGTGAAAAAAATCCTAGCCAACATAGGATAACATAGAATTATTAATAAACCACCAAAATGACTAATTAAGATATTGAAGACTCATCAATAAATTTTACCTTTAATTTTATTTTTTGCTGAGGTAAGCAGAATCTGACCAAGAGGAAAAGGCTCAAAATACCTTGGCCAAAGCTAAGCTATGTTTCAAAGTAAGATTTGGTAAGAAACTGGTTCTTAGAAAGAATTATTAAAAATTAAAATTCGCATTTTTGTTTTTGAGACAGTGGCTCTCTGGGAAGCCCAGAATGGCCTGGAACTCCATGTCCTCCTGTCTAAGTACTGAGGTCTCAGGGGTGCAGGGCTGAGCCCTGAGAGGACTTTAAACAGACAGAACGTTGCAGTACGACAGAGTTGACTGTGACACATAATTCAAAAAAACATACCAGTTGTAATGAGGCTTTCTTACCCAGGGAGTTGTGCTAACAACCATGGGTGGGTTAATGGAGGAAGCTGAGCTTTTTAAGCCCCAAATGATCAAAGATCAGGAAAGTAGAGGAAGGAAAAGCTTTGTTGTGAATTACATTCTTGAAACTCCCATATATCCCCGCGAAAACAGATGATTTCTACAGAATGATTTCTGTATTCCTACTGAATTCTTACTGCAGTTACTCTGAGTGGATACAAAGCTACCACCGCAGTGTTAACTAAGAGAACTAGGCTTGTCTGGAAGCCAGTCCAAGCATGTAGAGTTTCAGTTAATATTCAGTTTCTCAGGCCTCCCCCCTGCTGAAAGGTTTTCTTGTTTTTATTTGATAAGGTGGATATACCTTCAAAACATTTGTACTGGGGTATCTGAAGGTACTCGACAAAATGGATTTCAGCTGAGGCATGCCAGTGCCAGCAGCAGTGAAGTCTGGGAGTGCGTCAGTATCACCTCCTCTAAGGCCAGGGAAGGGACGGGAGCTGCCTTTACATTAGCAATCCCCATCTTGTCATTGTCACACTCGCCAACGGAAACAGTGACTTGGAAATGTCAAGATGCATGTAATTCTCCTTTCCCCTGTTAAAACTGTTACTTCTGAATCCGGCTCTCTGTTCTGGAATTCTGTTTCTTTAATCCTAAACATGGCACTGTGAGTACCATGTTTAATTTCCACTGGGCTTGATATTGCAAACTAAATCTGTGTTCTTTGTTCCTGCGTGGTGGTTTTATTCCAAGCTGACGTGATTGAATTGTGAGAGCAGAGTGGACATCATGACCAAAGCTTAATTTTTACATCTATAAAAGTTCAGGGCCCCGCTTCATGTTCGGTAGTCTCTTCTTGCCTCAAAACCGCAAGCCAGCTAATTTCTAGATGAAATTACTCCTGAGGGGCAAAAGGGATTCTTTGGGACGCACACCCTTTAGGTGACCTGTCTCCTCCCTGCCGGCTTTCTGAGGTTTCCGCTCTGAAGAAACTGGTGCTGGTGCTGGGACTGGTGGCCACTGCTTGTTCTGCACATGAGTTCCCTTGGTCTCGTGAGTACATGAGCACTGCTTCAGAGGATCCAGAATCTGTTTCAGTAGAACGGCTTTGATACTTTAAATGTTTCTTGTAGATGAAAAGGTCTAAGGAGAATTCTGAGCACGGGGCGTATTCAGATCTGCTGCAGCGTCAGAAAGCAACCATGGTTGAAAATAGCAAACTTACAGGAAAGATCAGTGAGTTGGAAACAATGGTAGCTGAGCTAAAGAAGCAAAAATCTCGGGTGGAGGAAGAGCTTCCAAAAGTTAAGGAGGCTGCGGAAAATGAACTGAGGAAGCAACAGAGGAACGTGGAGGACATCGCTCTGCAGAAGCTCAGGGCGGAGAGCGAGGCCAAGCAGTACCGCCGGGAGCTGGAGACCATTGTGAGGGAGAAGGAAGCCGCCGAGCGGGAGCTGGAGCGGGTGAGGCTGCTCACCTCTGAGGCTGAGGCCCGGCGAGCCGCAGTGGAGGAGAACCTCCGTAACTTCCGGAGTCAGCTGGAGGAACACACCTTCACGAGGAGAACCCTCGAAGATCATCTGAGGAGGAAGGACTCGAGCCTCAGCGATCTGGAACAGCAGAAACAGGCGTTAGTGGAGGAACTCCGGCGAAAGCGAGACCACGAGGAGGAACTCTTGAAGCTGGTGCAGCAGATGGAGAGGGACCTGGCATTCCAGAAACAGGTGGCCGAGAAGCAGCTGAAGGAGAAGCAAAAGATCGAATTGGAAGCAAGGAGAAAAATAACCGAAATTCAGTATTCGTGTCGGGAAAATGGGCTGCCGGCCTGTAGGACTGTGGCGGGCCCCCAGAAGGAGCAGGACAGACAGAAGGAGGAGGAACTTAAGCAGCAGGTGGACGAGCTGACTGTGGCCAACAGGAAGGCCGAGAAAGAGATGCGGGAGCTCAAGTACGAACTCAGTGCGGTCCAGCTTGAAAAGGCTTCCTCTGAGGAAAAGGCGCGGCTGCTCAAAGACAAGCTGGATGAGACGAATAACACACTCAAGTGCCTGAAGGGGGAGCTGGAAAGGAAGGATCAGGTCCAGGAACGCTACTCCCAACAGCTCAGAGAACTTGGCAGGCAGCTGAACCAAACGACAGACAAGGCTGAAGAGGTCAGGCAGGAAGCTGACGATCTCAAGAAAATAAAGCACAACTACCAATTAGAATTGGAATCTCTCCATCATGAGAAAGGAAAACTCCAGAGAGAAGTCGACAGGATCACCAGGGCACACGCTCTAGCTGAGAGGAACATTCAGCACTTAAATTCCCAAGTTCATTCTTCACAGAATGAGAAGGAACTCTCCGAGGAAAGGAGACAACTGTGCCAGAGAAAATCGGATCATCTGAAAGAAGAGTTTGAGAAGAGCCATGCACAGTTGCTTCAGAATATTAAAGCGGAGAAAGAAAATAACGATAAAATCCGAAAGCTCAATGAAGAACTGGAGAAAAGCAACGAGTGTGCAGAAATGCTCAAACAGAAGGTGGACGAGCTCACGAGGCAGAATAATGAAACCAAACTAATGATGCAGAGAATTCAGGCCGAGTCCAAGAACATCGTCCGAGAGAAACAAGCGATCCAGCAAAGATGCGAAGTGCTGCAGGTTCAGGCCGACGGTTTTAAAGATCAGTTACGGAACACCAACGAACACTTGCACAAACAGACCAAGACAGAACAGGACTTCCACCGGAAGATTAAAAGCCTAGAGGATGACCTAGCCCAGAGCCAGAATTTGGTGAGCGAATTTAAGCAGAAATGTGACCAACAGAACATCATCATCCAGAATACGGAGAAGGAGGTGAGGAACCTGAGTGCTGAGCTGAGCGCTTCCAAGGAGGAGAAGCGTCGGGAGGAGCAGAAAGCCCAGCTGCAGCGGGCTCAGGTGCAAGAGCTGAACGACAGGCTGAAGAGGGTGCAGGATGAGCTGCACTTGAAGACCATCGAGGAGCAGATGACCCACAGGAAGATGGTCCTGCTCCAGGAGGAGTCGGACAAGTTCAAGCGCTCAGCGGACGAGTTTCGGAAGAAGATGGAAAAGTTGATGGAGTCCAAGGTCATCACTGAAAATGACATCTCCGGCATTAAGCATGACTTCGTGTCCCTTCAGAGGGAAAACTGCCGCGCGCAGGAGAACGCGAAGCAGTGGGAGACAAACATCAGAGAGCTCGAGCGGCAGCTGCAGTGCTACCGCGAGAAGATGCAACAGGGGCAGCACGTGGAAGCCAATCATTATCAGAAATGCCGGAAGCTCGAGGAGGAGCTGGTCGCCCAGAGACGGGAGGTCGAAAGCCTCAAGCAGAGAATGGATCAGCAGATAAAGGAGCATGAGCACCAGTTAGCTTTGCTCCAGTGTGAAATTCAAGAAAAGAACACAGCCAGAGATCATACCTCCACGTCAGGTTTTGATACGGCAGGGAGAGAGTGCCACCGCCCCGCAGAGACTTGCTCTGGGAACTCTGGACACCTGAACCTCAAGGCCAGGTGTCCCCTGTCGAGATGGACTCCGGAACCACAACCTCAGGCAGAAGAAAAATGGCAGCATAGGGTTGCTGAACAAATCCCAAAGGAGGTCAAGTTCCGACAGCCAGGGACGCTCCTGGACACGGAGAGCGGCCAACCATGCTACTCGGAGTACTTTTCGCAGACAAGCACGGAATTGCAGATAACGTTTGATGAGAAAAACCCGATTCCGAGACTGACTGAGCTGGAGAAGATGAGAGACCAAGCCTTGACAAGGACTTCCAGACCGCCTGTCAGGTATCAGGATGACAAGCTCGAAATGGAACTGGTGAAACTTTTGACACCCTTGGAGGTATACCTTGTTCTGTGACCTTCTTAGCTACATCAGGCCAGGCTTCTTTTATTTCTTTTTTTCTCCAAGGCTACATTTTTTAACAGTTTTGAATGCCAAGCTGTATAGTATAGCCGTCCTGAGAGGAAAATAATACTCTAATTTTCCATCAGTTTGGCTGTATTTTACTATAAATGACCACTGATATATGAATGCTTGAGATTGTCCATAAATGTAGTGAGTAAGCTGATATATCTATAGGAGTATATATTTTAATGGTGATTATATTTTTTAAAAAATCTAGAGAATGGCTGTGTTGCATGCAGTTCAGTGGTAGAAGAATTCCCTAGCATGTGCAAGGCCCTGGGTCAGAGTCTTAGCACTTTGGGGTGGGGGAGGGAACTAGAAAAACCAAATATTATTTTCAACTTCTAGCGTATTCTGTGGCCAGGTTTCATTTTATTCACTACTTTACTGTATTTAATTGCTAAAACTTGAGTCTCTCAAAATATTCTCCTCTACCCTTGGTTTGCCGTTCTTCACTCATTTATAATTCAAGGGATTGTGTTTGGGCCGAGAATATTTGATAAAATGTCATCATGTTCTTTAGGCAACTTTAAACATCTTAAACATTCCTATTGCAGATAGCTAAGAACAAACAATGTGGTATGCATACAGAAGTCACGACCTTAACACAGGAGAAGAAGCTGAGTTCCAGTGCTGGTGGATGGATGCTGGAAGGGTCCAGAACATCTGGTGGACTCAAGGGAGATTTCCTTAAGAAAAGCGTAGAGCCAGAGACTTCCCAGAGCTTTGACCTTAACCAAGCATGTTCAGTTAGGGAGGATGAGTTCCAGTTCCAAGGGCTCAGGCACACTGTGTCTGGTAGGCAGCTGGCTGAAGCGAAGCTTCTGGACCTGAGAACAGTCGAACAGCTGCGACTCGGTCTGAAGACTGTTGAAGAAGTTCAGAAAAGTCTCAGCAAGTTTTTGACCAAAGCCACCTCCATTGCAGGACTTTATCTAGAGTCTTCCAAAGAAAAAATATCATTTGCTTCCGCAGCCCAGAAAATCATAATAGACAAAATGATGGCTCTAGCCTTTTTAGAAGCTCAGGCTGCAACAGGTTTTATAATCGACCCCATTTCTGGTCAGACTTACTGTGTTGAAGATGCAGTTCGTCAAGGCATTGTTGATCCTGAATTCAGGAATAGGCTCCTGGAGGCAGAGAAGGCCGTCTTGGGATATCCACATTCCTCTAAGACGCTGTCAGTGTTCCAGGCGATGGAAAATAGAATGCTTGATAGGAAGAAAGGGAAACATATCTTGGAAGCGCAGATTGCCAGTGGGGGCGTCATTGACCCTGTGAGAGGCATCCGAGTCCCTCCAGAAACTGCTGTGCAGCAGGGCTTGCTGAACAATGCCATCTTACAGTTTCTGCACGAGCCGTCCAGCAACACCAGAGTTTTTCCTAACCCCAACAACAAGCAGGCTCTGTATTATGCGGAGTTGCTGCAGATGTGTGTGTTTGATGTAGATTGCCAGTGTTTTCTCCTGCCCTTTGGGGAAAGGGACATATCCAACCTCAACATAGAGAAAACTCATAAAATTTCTGTGGTGGATACGAAAGCGGGAGCAGAGCTGACCGCATATGAGGCTTTCCAGAGAAACCTGATCGACAAAAGTATTTACCTTGAACTCTCAGGGCAGCAGTACCAGTGGAAGGAAGCCACATTTTTTGACTCCTACGGACATCCTTCTCACATGCTGACTGATATCAAAACTGGTTTGCAGTTCAATATTAGTGAGGCTGTAGAGCAGAGAACACTAGACAAAGCCTTGGTCCAAAAGTATCAGGAAGGCCTTACCACACTAACAGAACTGGCCGACTCTCTGCTGAGCAAGCTAGTTCCTAAGAAGGATTTGCATAGTCCCATTGCAGGCTACTGGCTGACTGCTAGTGGGGAACGGATCTCCTTACTGAAAGCCTCCCGGAGAAATTTGGTTGATAGGATTACTGCCCTCAGATGTTTGGAAGCCCAAGTCAGTACAGGGGGGATAATTGATCCTCTGACTGGCAAGAAATACAGGGTAGCGGAGGCTTTGCATAGAGGCCTAGTTGATGAGGGCTTTGCCCAGCAGCTGCGCCAGTGTGAATTAGTAATCACGGGCATCGGCCATCCTGTCACTAACAAAACGATGTCCGTGGTGGAAGCTGTGAATGCAAATATCATAAGTAAAGAGATGGGAATCCGATGCCTGGAATTCCAGTACTTGACAGGGGGCCTGGTAGAGCCACAGGTTCGCTCGAGGCTGTCTATAGAAGAGGCCCTTCAGGTAGGGATCATCGATGTCCTCATCGCTACCAGACTCAAGGATCAAAAATCATACATCAGGAATATAATATGCCCTCAGACTAAAAGAAAGTTGACATATAAAGAAGCCTTAGAGAAAGCTGATTTTGATTTCCACACAGGACTTAAGCTGTTAGAAGTTTCTGAGCCCTTGATGACAGGGATTTCCAGCCTCTACTATTCTTCCCAGTAGGGCGTTTAAGTAACTCCATGCAGAGGCAATGCCGGCTGCTTCCCGCCATCTGTTCAGAGCAGATGGTGTCTGCTAAATGTGCAGTCTAGGAACTGTGTCCCAAACTCGAAGCACTGAGAATTTCTTGTAGGCTAGAAATAGCTCCCTGCTCAGAAAACACGGCCATTCTTGAATTGAAAATAACACAGGATTGGCTGCCCCCTAAAATAGTTACATTTAAAAAAGAAATCTTATCTCACTTAAATAAATGGGTTTTATCTAGAAAATGGTGTAAGCATGGTGACCATCCACACATTCACAGACTCAATTTCTTCAGTCCTTCTTCAGAGTTCTTTCACTGAATAGATTCAGCTTGTTAATGACGTGGAACAATGTGCATCTTGAAAGAGTACCTCACAGAGCACCGCGGGATTGAAGAGAACAGGCAGATGTGCTCCAGATCCATGAGGCTGGAGATTTGCTTCCTGTAGGCTGTGATGTTCTTGACATATTAAAGTGTCTGTTGTAATCTCTTGTTTTAGTTGAGACTTTGGAATTAAAATCTAACAAGCCCGTTGTGTATTGGAGGAGGGGGATCATCTGTGTGTCTGTGTCGTCCTTCTCTCTCTTTTGCTTCCTGTTGTCTGAGAACTCTCTGTGGAGGCGTTCACGATTGTAATGCTAATGTAAAGGCAGCAATTCCCCAATCTCGCAGTCTCATGAATAAAGTTGAATTTGCTTATTTGTCCTACTCATGAAGCAGCTGGGTGGTCAGAGCAGTGAATAAAGATTGTCAAAGCTTCCCTGGCTACCCTAGACATCTGTGCTGTGACATGGCGGACACGGTTAAGTGAATGAATAAAAGATCTCCGTAACCCATGTGCATGATGGGAAAACTTTTTTTTTGCATTCTGAAGTTCAGCAGAAAGGATAGGTGAGTTGAGAAGCTCGGTCATCAGTCACTTACTAGAATGTACCTTCTCTTTTTTAACCACTTGTACCCGTCAGAAGTCTTTGGAAGAAGAGAAGAAACAGCATGTTGACAAAGCTAAAGAACTGCAGAAATGGGTATCAAATATCAGCAAGACAATGAGAGATGGGGAGAAAGCTGGGAAGCCTCTCTTCTCTAAGCAACAGGTATTCACAGAGGTTCTGATGCTGATGGGTGGAATTCACTGAATCATACAGTCTGCAAAGCACAAATCAGTACCTTAATTACCCCCTGGGTTACAGGCTTTTACAATGAAGATCCAAGAGGTTGGGTCGTTAGTCAGTTTGCCCAAAGAGTCATAGTTAGAATGTGCTGGAAAAGGGTATCCTATTCCACAGCCTGAACCATTTGCATTGGCTCCACTCTCAGCAAGCCAATAGGTTATAGGACTTACGTAGATCCCCTCCCCCATCACATCTTCTATCCATCCACTCCCCCATTAGAATGACTAGGATTGGTGATCAACGAAGTTACCAGACCTCCATGCCACCCATATCAGAAAGACATGGAGAATACCATCTAGGATGTGAACGTTGTTGAGTGTTTAGTAGTTCTTTCATTATGAATCTTTTCTGTTTCACAAGCAAACAGTTGCTTAGTGTTAGTTGGGAGACTGCATAAGGGAGGTATTTTTGCCCCACAGTGTACCACTTGAAGCTCAGGACATTGACATTAAGCTATAAATTCTATTAGTGCTGTTATTGGTGGTGGGAATTCCTTCTAGTTTGTATCTTGTTGGGTTGGTCTTGTTTGGGGGAGACAAGGTCGAGGCTAGTCTCACCCTTGCTATGCAGCACAGGCTGGCCTTGAACTCCTTAGTTGCTTTTTCTTTTTCTTTTTCTTTTTTTTTTCTTTTTCTTTTTCTTTTTTTTTTTTTGAGACAGGATTTCTCTGTGTAGTTTTGGTGTCTGTCCTGGATCTCGCTCTGTAGACCAGATTGACCTTGAACTCACAAATTCACCTGACTCTGCCTCCTGAGTGCTGGGGATTAAAGGCATGTGCCATCATGTCTGGACATTGACACCAAGAGAAGCTTTTGCATAAGGAATACTTTTCCCACAGGAGGCCAGCTCCTACCCTTGCCTGACATTGTAGTTTTTAGAGCTGTCACTCAGTCTCAGTGTTGAGTGTCTCTTCTAGCTTCGCCTTAGTACTTATACTCGATTGACCCTGACACGGGGGAGGGGGAGGGGGGCCGGGGGGGCAGGGGGGGAGTGGTCAGGAAAGGCATCAACTCTTGTCTAATCTTGCTTTTGATATAAGGCCAAATAGATCTGATTTAGGGTTTCTCTTGAGAAGTTTATACTTAAAATATTATTCTTTAAAAATGGAGTCGTTAGCTTTCATGGTGTGTGTCATTCAAATGGAAGAACACCTGGTGTCTTCACGTTATAGTTACACATTCTCTAAAATGTTAGTAAGATTTAGAGGTAGCATACACAGACACTTTTAAATAAGATTGTGGCCTTAACCTGGAATTCTACCAGAACACTTGCTCTTTCTCTTTTAAAGGAGAAAGTGGTTTGATAGACATAATGAGTGAGTGCTCAAAGATTCCATTTACCTTCATGATTACCTACAGCCATGCAGAATAGATGTCAATGGATTAAGGAGTATACTTGGCATCTTTTCATTGGCCCAGTATTTCCCATTCCTGTTCATTTACAAGAATGGAAGCTTTGATGAAATGAAAGGGGTTAAGGAAAAGTCTTGGGGGAACTCCCTTTTTCCTCCATCAATGGGTTTTCCACTCTGGTTGCCCCAGATGACTTGGGATGGAGTGTGCTAGCCTGGGGCAGTTATCTCTTGATCTGCAGGCCTACTTTCACGATAATAAAAGGAGCTTATGAAAGGAAGATCCTCTTTGGAAGTAGTGTCCCACAGTCACAGTGTCCTTTTGAGAACGGTGACATACAAGGGTGTTAGTGAGCCAGGACAGATGCAGGAACTGTGTGGTGTTGGATTGAGATGATAGTACCGTGACACCCAGAGGACTCTGCACTTGTGTCTGCTGGGGAGAGCTGACCTCTTTGGCCTGTACACTGCTCACAGCTGATAGGCTGTGTGTGTCACTGGAAAATACAAATGTCACTTTTGTCTTGATTAAAATCATACATTTTTAATTATTAGTTAATACTCATTTTGTTGGGGGAGAGTTTGAATGTGCCTTCTTACCTTACAGATTTCCAGTAAAGAAATATCAACCAAAAAGGAGCAGTTCTCTGAAGCTCTTCAAGCCACACAGCTTTTTTTGGCTAAACATGGAGACAAGTATGTTGGCTTTCACTGGCCCTTTCATTGGGTGTAGGGTCACGTCCTGAAATCCATCTAGCGGACAAAAGGCAGCGTGTCTTACCTAACATCCTAACAGTGGAACACCAACAAACCACACTTTACCACACAGAACGTGAACTTAGCAACCCGCCACTCCTAGTCTTCACCATTCTACGGTGTGCTCATCCTCATCTGTTACTGACAAGTAAACTGGCTCAGACAGGTTGAAGATGAGGACCCAGTGAGTGGCAGGGCAGGCTCTAAGTCAGGTTTTAATTCTTTGGGGGAACTTCTTAAATGTGTTCTCTGTGTGTGTGCACACACACATGCATACATAATGGATGTGTCTCTGTTTTCTAGTCCTGTTTTTCACGAGTTACTTTATATATCTCAACCAGTGATTTGAACAAAGAAGGTATCATCCCCCATCTTAAATCCTATTGGCGTGTCCTCTTCATGGTTACCCTGAAATGGTTTTGTGTTATTCCTTGAAGAATCTTTCTCTGATCAACTTGGAGCGGTTATTCTGGTCTTGTTGTTGTTGTTTGTTTGTTTTTATCTGGGAGGGCACTGACTTACTAGTTTAACTCTTTAGTCTCTTTCTTAGTCAAAGGAAAGAATCTTGGGTATTTTATATAGGCCCCTGACTTCAATACATAATCATTTCAAGACCTGAGAAATAGTCACACTCTATTTGAAGACTGTGAAGCAGAGACATGGAGACAGGTTACAAACTTTTACACGTGAAGGCTAACACTATCCCTGGATACTTTATGCCTGTTGTAGACTGACAGATGAAGAAAGAAAGGAATTGGAGAAACAAGTGAAAGCTCTTCAAGAAGGTTATAATTTATTATTCAGTGAATCCCTGAAACAGCAGGAACCGCAACCCTCTGGAGATACGAAGGCAGAGGAGAAGGTAACGTTGCTCACTGATGTGAGGTCCATTCAAGAGTCTGGTCTGTGCATGGCTGAAAATGTATGGTAATGTACCTCAAGGTTTATAGGTGGGAAATACATGGAGAGAGGTGGAGAGTTTGGAGGCCTCTGTGTTTATAAAGTACAATCTCACATGTGCTGATCATCATTCTCTGCCTTCTTAATCTCTGCCTTGCATGGTATAAGAGGACTCGTTCATTTTCTAACTCTTCTTTTTCAAAGCCATTCTTTTACTGTTATGTTAGGTATTTTATTATAAAATATGGTTAGAAAAGAGCCCGTGCATGGGTCATTTCTACATCTACAGTTGATATGCTATGGAGTTTTTTGATTGTCAGAGATACCCACGAAAATTATTTGAGTGATGGGAGGCTACACCTTAAAGTGAGAATACTCACACCTTTAAAAAAAAAAAAAATAACAGAAATCATTTAAAAATTGTCTGGCTCGTAGTAATGTGCCCAACACAATGCCCGATATTTTAAAAGTGTTTGTTATTTTTAATTCCACGACTCCTAGGAATACTTTGACATAATTTGTCGTGTTTTGGGGGTATGTAACAAGGTTTCTGGCTCCTTAGTTTTTTTTTACTATCCTCGGGAAAGTCTGTATGCTGTAAACACCGGTAGCATGGAGTTTGATGTTCCTTCATGTCACTAGGCTCTAACCTCACTCGGATGCAGGAAGCATGGTTTGCCTTCTAGATGTGTGTTCTGTTCTCTCTGTCGACACCTACTCCATGTCCTCACTAACCTCGTTAGTGTACACAGATATTGAGTTTTCAATTCACAGATGCATGTCGTTTTCAAAGCTTATCACATCCTGTGCTGTTGACTAGATCACTGACATAGGTCACTTGTGCATTTGAGCTGCCTAACATTCACAAGCTGCCCTGGTAAGTAGAGGACTTTTTTATGATCAAGTTTATTATTATAAAACAAAACCACGTAAGTGGTAGGAAGCGGCCTTGGGTTCCAGACTGACCCGAGCTTTCTGCGTTTTCCTTCCAGCTGGATAAAGTGATCGCGGGCACCATCATTGAGTCAACTGGAGAGGTCCTTTCCATCTTCCAGGCGGTTTTAAGAGGCCTTCTTGACTATGAGACAGGAATCAAGTTGCTTGAGGCACAGCTGGTGATTTCTGGTTTGATTTCACCAGAATCAAGAAAGTGTTTTGACCTCCAAGATGCTGAAAGCCATGGCCTCATTGATGAACAAATTCTGTGCCAACTGAAAGAGCTAGATGAAGTAAAGCAGATCATTTCCACTACTTCGCCAACTACGATTCCCGTGCTGGACTGTCTGGCTCAAGGCATGATATCAGAATCCATGGCCATCCGCGTTCTTGAGATACTGCTTTCTGCGGGGGCTCTGGTGGCTCCAGCCACAGGTGAACCCCTGACCCTACAAAAGGCTTTCCAGCAGAATTTGATTTCCTCGGCATTGTTTTCTAAAGTCCTTGAAAGGCAAAACACATGCAAAGATCTTATTGACCCATGCACTTCCGAGAAGGTATCTTTAACTGACATGGTCCAAAGAAGCATTTTGCAGGAAAATACCGGGATTTGGCTTTTACCCGTGAGACCACAGGAAGCGGGCCGAATAACACTGAAATGCGGAAGAAACGTCAGCGTCCTAAGAGCCGCTCACGAAGGGCTCATAGACCGTGAAACCATGTTTAGGTTGTTAGGTGCACAGCTTCTGTCTGGTGGTCTGATCGATTGCAACTCTGGGCAGAGAATGACTGTGGAAGAAGCCGTGGCAGAGGGAATGATTGACAGGGACACTGCAAGCAGTATCCTCACCTATCAGCTTCAGACCGGTGGGATCCTGCGCTCCAACCCTGCTAAGCGCTTAACGGTGGACGAAGCAGTGCAGTGTGACCTGATAACGTCCAGCAGTGCGCTCCTGGTTCTGGAGGCTCAGCGGGGCTATGTTGGACTCATTTGGCCCCACTCCGGTGAAATATTTCCCACATCTTCTTCCTTACAGCAAGAGTTGATCACAAACGAATTAGCCTACAAAATTCTGAACGGGAGACAGAAAATCGCTGCTCTCTATATCCCAGAAAGTTCTCAGGTCATTGATTTGGATGTTGCTAAGCAGCTGGGGATTATAGATAATAACACAGCATCCATTTTAAAAAATATAACCCTGCCAGACAAAATGCCAGATTTGGGAGATTTAGAAGCTTGTAAAAATGCCAAAAGATGGCTCTCTTTTTGTAAATTCCAGCCATCTACAGTTCATGACTACAGGCAAGAAGAGGATGGTTCTGATGGTGAAGAGTCAGTGACAACCCAGAGCTCAGAACAAACTAAAAAGTTATTCCTCTCTTATTTAATGGTGAACAGCTACATGGATGCAAACACGGGCCAGAGGCTTTTGCTCTATGATGGAGACTTGGACGAGGCTGTGAGCATGCTGCTGGAAAGCTGCGGTGCAGAACTTGGAGCCGGCACAGCCGTAAAAGAAAGTCTCTCAGTCCTAAGCATCCCTGGTGCCTTTCCTAATTGTGCCTCAAGGAAAGAAAAGGATGAGTGTTCAACGTCAGCAGCTGGTTCTGCTAAATGTCCTTACAGACAACCGGAACATAAAGAGGCTCTTGAAAACAGCGAGTGTGCCATAAATACAGAGTTCTGTAGAACGGGAAACAATGACAACAGTAGTGAATTGTATTGGGCAGAAAACCTAACAAATACAACAGCAATTGTTCATAAAGCCAGCAGTCCATTTAGTGGGTGTGTCCCCAACCCTCCATCATACTCAACACAGCCTGAATATGCAGGGGGGAGCGTGCTCAGACATGATTCTGATGACATACTGAAAGACAGTAAGGACCAATGTGAGCTTGAAACAAAGGCACATCCAGATGAATGTAATCATTCTAAAAGCACTCAAGATTTTGCAGGTAATTTTTTGACATCAAAAACTGGTAGACTTGGTCATCGGAATGAACGAGAAACTGAAGCGAGTGTGCAGAAGGACCCGTCTGTCTTTGACTACTCCCCCCAGCTGAGTGCCCTGTTAAGTCATGATGAGTTGAGGCACAGTCAGGGCAGTCTGAGTGAAACACAAACCCCACAGAACACGGGATATATATGTGAAGCTTCTCCATTGTCGTTCAGTGACCAAAGTGTGTCAGCTGATAAAAGTGCAAGCGAAAAATTCCAAGACCAATTTCTGGGAATCGCAGCTATTAACATCAGCTTCCAGGGAGAGCACTGTGGACAGAAATCTTTAGATATTGGGTGTAGTGATCCTCAAGTACAATATCACAGTGATGAATACATGTCAGATGTTTCAGGTGAGAGTGAAAATACTCAACAAACAGATGAAAATGAGAAAAGTGGGTCTGAGGTGGACAAATACTCCTGTACCATGATCCCTGGGGATGGTTCACACAATACCGACACCTCTGTTTGTGGCACATTGTCACATAAAGGAGCCATTGATGCTGGTGACTATGAGACATCACTGCTTGCTGATCAGCAGAGTGACTCAGGGACAGACACTGAGAGTGATGATTATTTTTATGATACCCCCTTGTTTGAAGATGATGACCACGATTCTCTAGTTCTTCAAGGTGATGACCGTGATGGTTTGCAGCCTGAGGACTATGACATGTTGCAGGAGGAAAATGATGGGACCCCTCCTCCTGTTGATACTCTGTATGATGTTTCAGAAGAGAAGAAAAGTCCTTTGTTTCCCCAAGGAGGAATCGTTGATAGCTTAAGTGTGAAGAGCAGAGCACACTGTTCTCAGGAATTTCTTGTAGGTACAGAGAACGCTGAATTACATTTAGTTGACCAGAAACAGTTAAATTCAGTGGCCTCAGACAAGGTGAATGAACAGTTAATAGAACCTACATCCAAAAGGGAAAGCCCGTGTGCCCTTGACCAGAATGATTCTGACTCATTGACTGACGGTGAAATCACAGGAAGGAAAGAGAGCTCAGGAGCTTCTGTAACACCTGATGAGGGTTGGAGAGGGAGAAGAGAGGAGCGTGGCTCTAGCCAAGAAAGCCAGTCTGATGATGATCGGGTAGGTTCCACACCAAGTAGAGAAAGTTCCAGGCAGTCTGTGTGTGACGTGAGTGACACAGATGACGATGAGGACGATGAGGACGACGACGACGAAGACACTCCCAGTGGGGACCACAGCAGTGATGGAGGAGGAGGGGGACAAGGAGTGGAGGATGAGAACGGGAAGCCCATGTACCAACTTGGAGATACCCGGTTGTGTGCCACCACCCCTGGAAAGGAACATGGGGGTGAAAACCGAAGTACCAGTCCCATGCTTCTCCTGGAGGAAGTGCACCATGACAGTCCTTTAGAAAAGCAGCACCGTGCCAGGGCTTTGCAGCCAGAATCAACTGGGAAGCAGAGTCAAGGCACTGAAAGAAGCAGCCGTCCAGAACTTACGACGGAAGCTGATGAGGAGAACAAAGTCAGCCTGGCTGGTCACGTGGCAACTCAAGATGTGTCGCTGACTGATGCTAAAGACCAGGCCTCGGAAAAAGTCTTTGGCTTTGAAAGTATTTTATCTAACGATGCCGGTTTGATTTCCGAATTAGAAAGTGATGTGATGAGCACAAAAGTCAAATTGGTTCAAGGGCCGGAATCTACAAATATTCTAAAGGCTGAAGGCGAGTATCTTGAGAATGTACCACCCCAAATCAGTCCATCTTTGGAGGAAATCATTTGTTCTGAAACTGAGTTACTAGGAGGACCTTCTGGGGAAAGCCAGTTGTCATCCAGCGTAAGTGACAAGGATCAGCAGGAAAGTGGAAGAGGTCTGGTTAAAGGTAGAGGCGGCAAAAGTGACCAGCTGGTGGACGAGACATCCGTTCGGGAAGTGGGCTCGGGTAAAGAGGAAGGGTCGATAGAAGGCTCAGGAGAAGAAGAAAGGCATCTCAACCCCATTCCAAATGAAAGTGCACCAGAGAGCCTCAGTATGGTGAAGAGCCAGGCTCCCCGTCCACTGACGAACACCGAGCAACTCACTCACAGAGGGGGCCTGGAAGCAGCCACTGTGACTCTTGGAGGTGAACTCAAAAAAGTCAGTGAAAGTCCTGTTCCATCTGAGACTCTGGCAGAGATATTTGACACCTCAGCTTCTGAAGTGACTCATGCCTACTTTACTTCAGATGTCACATCCCCTGAGGGAAAGAGCCACGTGGAAGGAGATTCCTTCACAGAAGGACTGGAGACAGAGAGTGATCCGTTTACTTCCTTAGAAAACTCTGACAAACATATAAAAGTGGATATACCAGAACCAAACAAAAACATCCCAAGCTCTGCCTCAATAGTTTCTCCTCTCATGGAGGATGATTTATGGACAGTAAATAATGCAGAGGAAACATCAGTCATTTCCCAAGAAGACTGGCCTCCAGGTGCCAAGATCCAGCAAAGTGATACTTGTACCAAAGAAAGTATCTCAGAAGGAAAAACAGGAAGCCTTCAGTTCACTCCAGAAAATAGGGACACCACACTGTCACCCCTGCCTCTTAAAAGTGTGGAGGACTGTGGAGAAAATACCAATTCTGAGCAGTCTAAGCTCCATCTGAATGGAGTGAACAGCGCCTCCAGTAACACTTCAGAGGGGGGCTGCTCACCGTTAGGAAGCAGCAGGGAGAAAGAAAGCACTGAGAAACAGCCACACAGAGAACCAGCCTTAGCTCCAAGACTCCAAGAGAGAGCGGTTCATGTTCCCGAGTTGTCTCTGGCATTTGGGAATGGTGGGGAGGCCATCTTGAAAAGCATGTTAGAAGAAGGTCATACCAATCTCCAAGAGGGGGGAGACCCTTCAGCTTGCACAGGCACCAAAATTTCAGTTCAGAGCTTCATTAAAACAGTTGTCTTGCCTCAGTTGCCGGATGAAGTATCTAGTGTGCCCAGTCTTGGCGTTTCCCCCACGAATAACTCATCAGAACCGAAGGCAGAGAGTGGAGGGGATCCTCTCTGCATTGCAAGTCTTCTTGATATACTGAAGCAAAAACAACAGACCCAAGAAACCCCAGGCACATCTGAGTTGATGAAAGTGTTAACTCAAATGGAGTGGGATCCAGAGAAAAGAGGCATTGCATCTGAATTATTTCCACCACAACTTAAAAATGCTTTGTACAAGCTGCTTTTGGATGGCTCTTCCGCTGAAAGAGAACAGGCTGGAGCCTCGAATCAAAAACCACAGGCTGCTTCTGAGGTGGTGGAGGAAGAGCCGTACATCTGTGGTGGTCTGAAAAGCAAAGAGGGAACTCGCCATTCTCCGAACCCGCAAACTGTGGGAGAAACAGGGGCAGAGCTCTCTACTGTGCACACAGCAGCCTTGGCAGGAGACAGGAAGCTTGAAGAGCTGTGCAGTGAGCCTCCGGGTCATTCGGAACGCGTTTCTGGAGCAAAAGAAATGGCCTCTGGTGACAACTCGGTGGAAAAAGTGAGTTGACATAGTCATTTTTTTTCCCATGACAATTCCAGCAGCAAACACGTGGGGGATAATCCCATGCATTTTGTTTCCTTTAATATTTTTTCATAAAGGCTATTAATTACTGTATCCAAATCTGTTTTCAGTGTTCCAGTGAGTTGCAGCAGTGTTTACAGCATTCTGAGAAAATGCATGAGTATTTGGCTTTGCTTCGCGACATGAAACCCCCGTTAGAAAGTCAGCCGTCTGAGGATAACAGTCTAGAAGCCTTGAAGAATCAGCTTAAGCAGTTAGAGGTAAGTTTAATCTACTGACGTGCCTGTCAGCTTTCCATCAGTAATCAAGTTAAGCAAAAGGTCTGTATGGGGTCATAGTTTTAGAGGCTCTGACCTACGACCCCTTGGTCCTGTTACTTTTAGTTTTGTGGCAAGGCAGTTCATCACCTCATACTGAAAGGCAGAAGAGAGGGAGTCCATAGTGCCCCTGTCCCCTTTGAGAGTCCCCCAAGTCCTGAGATCTGAAGTTCTCCTATTAAGTCCACTTCTTAAAGTTTCTAATCCTCCCCTGTAGCACCAAGCCAAGGTCCAGAGCACCACCAGCCTTGGGAGACATTCAGACCCCAGCTGCCGTATTGGGTGGTTCGTGGATGGTACCATGTCATGCACAATTTGCAAAATGTGGAATGCTTTGCCCTTATGTTTTGTGTTTGGGTTTGTGCCTTTTGCCGAGTGGTAAATAGATGTGGAATATATTTCTTTGCAGACATTTGAGTTGGGGTTTGCTCCAATTGCTGTGTTTTTGAGAAAAGATCTAAAGTTGGCAGAAGAGTTCTTAAAGTCTTTTCCTAGTGACCTTCCCAGAAGACATCGAGAGGAACTGAGCAAAAGCCACGAAGGTTTACAGAGTGCCTTCTCATCCCTTAGCAGTGCATCCTCAGAAAGAAAGAAACGGCTCAGGCTTGCCATCGACTCTGAAATGGTAGGCTTTTATAAAAGGGTGAATTTTGAATAAAATGTGATTAATTATTTAAAAATTTGTGGGGTTTTTTAAGTATTATCGTTTTTACAGTTCTCAACTCTTCAAATAGAATCATTGTAGGACTTTGAAATTTGGGGGACAAACAGAAATGAACATGTAATTTTGTTTTCTAGTCTAAACTCACAGAAGTTTATGAAGACTTCCTGCATAAACTTACGTCATATTCAGATTGGGTATCAGAGAAAAGCAAATCTGTGAAGGATATTCAAACTGTGAACATCCAAGATACTGAACTTGTAAAAGAAAGTGTGAAGTTTCTTAAGGCAAGTATCAAAGTCCATATGACAAGGTCTAAGACCTGTAGATTTAGGGTAAGACATGTTCAGGACAAATACAACCTTCCTGAGACTACTAGGGACTTCAAGCCTGTCTTTGGCCTGAAGAGATACCTTTCATAACTGCCCTAACTCTGGAAGCTATCCCATACACCGTACCACTGACAAAGTGACATTTGTGTGCATGTCTTTTTTATAAATGAATGATGTAAGCACAAGATAGCCATAAATTAGTCAAAAGTATGGGAGCATAAGTCATACTTAGATAATTTTGGTATGAAATTTTTTTTTACATGCTCTTAATTTGAACAACAATCCCATGAACACAGTTAGGCTCCTTGTCTCAGAATCAGAAAACTAAAATTGTCGTGTGTCGAATTCACATTTTGTGTTGTTTGTGGTCTTGTTGTGTGTGATCACAATTGAAAGGCTAATAGAAACGTGAGCAGTTACTTTGTGATATTAATGTGCCTTTCACTATGATGAATGAACCTGTGTGGTATCTTCATTTTTTTTTTTGTTTGTTTTTTTGTGGGTTTTTTTTTTTTTTGTCAGTTTTTTAAATAGGATATACCAAAGACAGACCGTTCTTGGGGTTACTTATCTGTATATGTGTCATATTTAAATGCTTTATTATGGGGATGGAGCAGTGGCTTAGTGTATAAATGGCTTGCCACACTTTCTGCGCGAGCATGCGGATCTGAGTTTAAATCCTAGATTCCGTGTTAAGTTGGGGCATAACGCACATCTGTATCACTAATGCTTCGACACCGCTACTTGTCCGGCTTTCTTCACAGGATGTGCTAAGAGACCTTACACACACCAAAGCGCAGCTGGAAACGGCGGCCTTTGACATACAGTCCTTCATCTCCGACCATGCTCAAGATCTGTCTCCCAACCAAAGCAGACAGCTGCTGAGACTCTTAAATACAACCCAGAAGTGTTTTCTTGATGTGCAGGAGCTGGTAACCACCGAGGCCGACCGGTTAGAGACTCACCTACACCTAGAGCAGGAGCTCGGTCATCAGAAGGTCTGCCTGTCTTGTGGAGCTGGGCTCACTGCTTGACTTGTTCAGTGTGAAACCAGAAATAGTGGCCTGCTAGGGAGGGGCTCTGGGCGGGCCTGAGTGGGTGTGGAGGGTGACTTCTGCAGTGGGTCTAGGGAGGGGCTCTGGGCGGGCCTGAGTGGGTGTGGAGGGTGACTTCTGCAGTGGGTCTAGGGAGGGGCTCTGGGCAGCCTGAGTGGGTGCTGATCAGATTTCTTGCAGTGGAACACAGCGTGGTTTTCATGTTGATGCTGCCACGCCGTTGATCTTTTTCATCGTTCTCTAGCAGTGTTTTGTTAGGCGAGAGTCTGAATTCTCTCCCTGAAAATGGGAACTAGAACGCATGCAGACATGTGCAGGAGAACGCATGCAGACATGTGCAGGAGTGACTGATGGTGGTTTAGCTCTGGAGTTCAGAGCACGATTTTCCCCTGGAAGAAGGAGGGGGGCACAGAGTTGGAGCTTGTGCTTTGGAGTACTGGTCTAGAGCTGAATTGCCTAAATTTGAATCCTAAATGCTCTACTTTATCTGCTTTGTGTGGCTCAGGGAAGTGACTTACCCTCACTTTGCTCGCTGGTAAATTAGAAATAGTAGTGTTTATCTGTTAATATTATGAGCACTGATAAAATGACTCATATGAAGCAGCCCTGTGCCTGACCCGCGCTGAGCTTTCAGTAAACATGAGCTGTGTTTACTGTCGCTGTGGGCCAGATAAGTGTGTCTGGGGGAGAGGAAAATAAAAGTACAAGTTTTGACTTACTAATCGTTCAGATTTCATGGATTCAGTACGTGCAGTGGCTGTAATGAGCAAAGAACGTAAGGACAGAGTCAAAGTAATGCATGCGACGTTCCTGTTTTTCTTGAAGCATCCGGGCATTGTGTGTAGCATGATAACCTGTATATACATATCCATATGTTTACTGACCAATCACAACTAACTTCTCTTTTGGTGTCCTTTTGCAGAATTAATTCTGTGGGTCGCAGGGTTCAAGAGCTTAAGACCATGGGATGTTTCTTCCTGTCGATGAGAAGTTCCATCTCTTACACATATGCATGGCCAGTATTCTGTTGAGCAGCCTCACCCAAACAGGCTCTTTCCGTGTGTATGGGACATGCTCATGCTGTACTCTCTGTCTGTCCTTGCTCGGTTGGCACTCCAATGCTATCGTGTTTACAGCATACTTAGAAAAGCTTAATGGAGGGTGTTTGGAAAGTGATTTCTGATAAGAGGCTTGGTCAGAAGCGAGGTGAAGGTCACCCCTTGAAGGTGTTTTGGGTTTTCTCCATCTTAGGTTGTGGCAGAGCGTCAGCAAGAATACAAAGAGAAACTCCAAGGACTGTGTGATCTCCTCACCCAAACCGAAAACCGCCTCATCAGTCAACAAGAAGCCTTTGTGATTGGAGATGGCACAGTGGAGTTAAAGAAGTACCAGACTAAGCAAGAGGTAGACCTGTGGGAGCAGCAGCTGTATGTCCCTATTAGGTCTGGTTACAGTGTCTGGAAGGCCCCTGGGCTTGCTGAAAACAGATCAGGTGTATCAGAAGCAAGGCATTCCCAGAGGCCCTGAAAAAGAGCTTTAAACTTCATACTGAAAGCTAGACTCACACTTAAAGCAGGCCACCTCATTGTCTACACTTCTTTGGTGACATACTTCATCGGGGGTGGGGTGGGGGGGTGGGGGGTGGTAAATGATACTTGACAATGTGAACCCTTTATGTCCAGCTGACTCGCTTGCAAATCAGGAGAAATAGCCTTCAGTCTGAGTTCTTTCTCAGTACTCAGTACTTTCTCTTCCTTTTCCTCTGGTCTTTTCCTGTAATTCATTCTTTTTTATCTTAGAAGGGAAAGGGATAAAATAACAGAAATGCCAGATAAGAAAAATCTGTATTTTGGTGTCGGGGGAGAGAGAGCCTCATTCTGTGTAGCTTTTGACTCAAATTCAGTGTTAGTCATGCCTCTGGGTCTCAGTTTCCTTCAGTAAGAACTGAGTGTACTTCTCTTGCCACATTCTTATTAAAGCCGAGGAACCATAAGTCAGGTCACTACCACGGTTAATGTTATACACGGGCCCTCATGCAAGTCAAACACTCAAAACCTGGAGGAGCCTCAAGGCAGAGTATGGACAAAGGTGTTTTTAAAACGCACTGGTGTATTATAAAGAATGAAAATGCGTAAAAACAGGATTCCTTTGTTTTTAAAAGAAAAGATCACAGAGGGAAATTTCCACTTCCCAGGCAAAGGAAAGCTGTAACTCCCGAGGGGAGTGCTCCCTCCAGTGCCCTAATGGCCGGAGCTAAGATGCAAACATTACACCATGCCAGATGGTGGGGGCGCACACCTCTAATCTCAGCACTCAGGAGGCAGAGGCAGGCGGATCTCTGAGTTCGAGGCCAGCCTGGTCTACAGAGTGAGATCCAGGACAGCCAGGGTTACACAGAGAAACTCTGCCTTAAAAAAAAAAAATAAAAACAAACCACAACCCACTACATTATATATAACCTGGTGTTAGAAAAAGAAAGTGTCTCAGTTCACTGATGGAACTATTTTCTTTTCTTTCTTGAGTGAATAGGTATGTATTAAAATCAGTGTTCAGTTTGGTGTGAGGGTAGTGTATGGCTGTAAGCATAACACTGGGGAGGCGGAGGAAGAGCATCACTTTCTTGGCCTGCCTGGGCCACATAGTGAGACCCAGTCTCAAAAAGTATGTACTGGTGTTTAGAAATAGACTAAATATCACCCCAAATTTATGTTGTAAAAGGGCTTATATAAAGCTCATACAAATTTGTACAGCTCGTGTGCTCAGCCCCTCAATATTTTCAATGTTTCACAAATAGTCTTTTCTTAAGCATGAAAAACTCATACATTCTTAATATTGAGATTTCAAATTATATGAAAATTAAAGTGCAGTCAAGCCAACTCACACTCCCATACTCTGTATGCTTTTTCAGCCGCATTTGCTAGTCTCTGCCTACAATAACTCTCTTAGAATTACAGTTCTGCAGGAATTGAAATGATCTACTAGAATCCTTTCTCCTCGTGTGTGTTTTAAGGAATTGCAGAGAGAGATGCAAGGCAGTACACAGGCACTGGCGGACCTCGTGAGGAACACGGAAATCTTTTTAAAAGAGAGTGGCGACGAGCTGTCCCGCGAAGATAAAGCTTTGATCGAGCAGAAACTGAGCGAGGCAAAGATGAAGTGCGAGCAGCTGAATGTAAAGGCAGAACAGTCGAAAAAGGAGCTGGATAAAGCGGTGACGTCAGCCATCAAGGAGGAGGCTGAAAAGGTGCCTGTCCAAGCGCATGGTACACGGTTGCCTTGCCGGAGATGGCTAACACAGCGCGGTAGCTGCTCGCTTTTGTTACGTGTATCAGGTGGTTGTGAGCCGTGATTAGCTCTGAGAGCGAAAATGCTGGGACTGTGGGCACATAGTTGCCAAATACAAACGAAGATTGGAAGAATGGGCTTTGCTTAATCTTTCCTAAGTAGAAGCAGACTGAGAGACTTTGGATGTAAGAAGTGCTGTCAATTATAGTTAAAAATTCAAAATAATATGTTTGAAGGCAGTATAGACCCAGAGTAACTGCTTGTTGCTTTAGGGTTTAATTCCCATATGTTTCTAATATGTGTTCGTTTTTATAATTCAGGATTGCCTAAGTACTTTTTAAATGTGTTAAGCCTAGGCTGTGTCTATAATATTTATGAACCTTCTCTACCCAGGTTGCAGCTGTGAGGCAGCTGGAAGAGAGCAAAACCAAAATAGAAAACCTTATGGACTGGTTGTCGAATGTGGAGAAGGACTCGGAGGGGGCAGGCGGGAAGCACAGGCAGACGATGGAGCAGAACGGAACCCATTCTCATGACGGTGATGGCAAGTCAGTAGCTGGTGAGGAGGACGAAGTCAATGGCAACCTGCTGGAGACAGATGCTGAGGAGCTCGCCGGGACCACGGAGGAGAATCTGAACCAGCAGTACCAGAGAGTCAAGGTGTGCGGTTTAGACAGTGATACTGACCTTAGTCAAGGTCGGTAGTCAGCTTGATACAACCACAGAGAGGAAAGACTTTGCCTACCCCAGGCTCATTGTATGTCAAGTATAAATTACTGTGGACGTTCTTAGGAGGAAATCACAGCTTCTGGGCATAGGTGAAGCCTGTTTAAGAAATAAGAGAGGGCTGGAGAGTTGGCTCAGTGGTTAAGAAAGCTTGCTACTCTTGCCGGGAGTTCAAGTTCAGTTCCCGGCACCCACATCAAGCAACTAACAACCCGCCTGTAGCTCCAGCTGTCCTCCAAGGTCATCCATATCAGACATACATGCATAAATTTTAAAAAATGAATCTGGCAATGGACCTCTCCAGCACAGTGACTGGCCAGGCACTTCATTTCGTCTTCTTGGCCACTCTTTGAGGTTTTAAATTTCCATTTTATAAGACAGTGGCAACTTACATACCTAAAGCAACTTGCCCCTGTTGCATATGTAGGAGAGCTAGAGATTGGCTTTAACCTCAGGAACGGTTTCAGTCGATGGGTGGATCTCTCTGCTGCATGCTCGCAGACTGGCTTGCCGTGCAGCCTGAGGAGCATCCATTCTACCCTGAGCCTCTGAGGCAGTGCGGGCCGTTGTGGAGAATGAAAGCCCGGTGCATGTCGCAGTGGCAGCCTTCAATCCTGCCACTGCAGGACCAAGGCAGTTTGGGAGTAGCCGTTATTTCTTTTAAAGTGTCCCAGGGTTGATGGTTTTGTCTCGGTGCCTGGAATCCAGTGCTGGATGACCGTGTTTGTGAGGCTTTTGCAGGTCGGCTGACTCGCCTAGAATCCAATGTGGTACTCTCAGTGAGATTTTCTAGAAGATGTAACTTATGCCTGAAGAGTTGGGGTACTTACTGATGACACTCTCAAAAAGCTTGGGAATAGGACATCACTGTCCCTGTTTTTTTTTTTTTTTTTTAAATGGAAAAAAAAAGAACTCCTGAAGGAAGTTTATGCATTATGACAAAAAAGCCATGAAAAGGTAGTAAGTTAACCAAAGAAATAAGAATTATCAGTGAGTGTACTTTAATATGAAGAAGTCACCTAAACCAGCCATTGCTTTAGACCACAGCATGGCATTTTCCTTATGCTATCTTTACTTCTGAGGTTGAGAATCCTTAAGAAGCAATCTGTTGTCTGAGTGGGGATGCAGCCAGAGGGTCCAAGTTAGCCATGTCCGCCCTCTGCAACGGTGCCAGGCCCCGGGTCAGCCAAGCCCCTCTCCTCCCCTCGGCCTGAGATTCCTTATAGACGAGGAGGGATACTGATCTGATGACGTAAGGTATTCTGTGTGTCCATCCTGTCAGATGCAAAGCCCTGCTGGAGAGAAACACAGGAAGATGATTCAAATGCCAAGGACCCAGTTTGTGGAAGAAAATTGTTTGAACAAAAATATTCACCAGCGGCACATAAGGTGTTGGGCACTACTGCAGATAGTGAGGGTGCACGTGTGGACAGGCCTGCACTCGGCTGCCTGGCTGAGAACAGCTTGTGAGTGGGGCGTGGCCTCTCCATGATTCCAAGACCTTCACTGCTGTTATTCTCTTTCTGCCCCGGGCGCTCGCCTACCGAGGGGAGAGGACAGCATGGCACCCAGTAACTAAGTTAGGTGGTTTGGTGGAAGGTAGTAAGTGCTGAGAGAGAAATCTTAGTGAGCCGGTCAAGAGTAATGTAGTGTGATGTGGTTCCTTTTTTAGTGTGTAAATCAAGTAGTTAACCATGTTGTAACCAACAAAACCATGTCGATGAGATTTATGCAGATATTTAAAGGGGATGGAGGCAGCTGTGTGGGTATCTGTTGAAGGAACTGCCACCGGGCAAAAACACAAGGAGAAAAAAAATTTACCAACATACCTAGCCAGCTGGGTGGGGATAGAGGTGTAGCCGAAAGAGTCCTGCAGTGTAAACCAGATCAGGCCCATGTTCGCCATGAAACTGAGAAAATTGCTCAAAAGGTTTATTAACCTTTATTTGCCATATTTGGGTAGAATATTTGAAGAAACTTTTTGTAGATGGAGAGGAAGGAACTTAAGGTGCCTTAAGGCCAACCTGCTCCCTGGAAATAGAGGCCGCAGGTGCCTCTGTGTACCTTTGACCTCTTGGCAGCAGCACTTCCCGGGAGCTCTGTCTGCCTTGCTGCCTTGGAGTGACCTTGAACTCCTAGCTTGGGCCAGGTTCTGGAGGGATTCTCTGTATGTGAGCTGAGATGGTCCTTAAAGCAAATCTGTGACACACCGAGGTCACCGCCTCCGTGTTCACTGTAAGAACCAGATGTCACCAATGCCTTCTCCCTCACGTCTGCTCCTTTAGCTCTTGCTCGACTTCTCTAACGTCTTTAAATTGACCGGTAAGAGGATTATATGTATGGTGGCTTGAAAAGTGCGTTGAGAAGTGAGTTGGGTTTTGGAAGCTGAGTCACCCTAAGGTCACAGTGTTCCCAACAGCTCTAAAGCTGCCATTCACTTGTCTTCTCCACACAGGCCCAGCACGAAAAGATCATGGCTCAGCACCAGGCGGTCATCCTAGCCACGCAGTCTGCACAGGTACTGCTTGAGAAACAGGGCCACTACCTGTCACCCGAAGAAAGGGAGAAGCTGCAGGCAGACATGCAGGAGCTGAAAGCGCATTATGAGACTGCGCTGGCCCAGTCCGAGAAGAAGGTGAAGCTGACGCATTCCCTGCAGGAGGAGCTGGAGAAGTTTGACGCTGACTGTAGCGAGTTCAAGCATTGGCTCCAGCAGTCGGAACAAGAGCTGGAGAACCTGGAGGCGGGTGCCGACGACCTCAGCGGGCTAACAGACAAGCTGACCAGGCAGAAGAGTTTCTCCGAAGACGTCATCTCACACAAAGGTGACTTGAGGTACATCACCATTTCCGGAAACAGGGTGTTAGAAGCCGCCAAGTCTTGCAGCAAGAGAGACGGCCACAGGAACGACAGGGACAACGTGGACACTTCCGCAACCCACAGAGAGGTTCAGACCAAACTCGACCAGGCTACACAGCGCTTCCGGTCTCTCTACTCCAAGGTAATTTTATTTTCCTTTCGTTTTTTGAGTAGAGGTCAGTCTGTGATGTATTTTTCAATCTTCCCTCTTCGCTTTTGCTTTAGAAGATATATATATATATACCCCGACATGGGGGAAAGTAGTAGTTTTATTCATCTCCTTTACTTCTGGAAAATGTCTCTTAAAGATGAGCAACTTCAAGTTACTTAATTTTGAGAGAGGTTTACCAGAAGTTTTTGGTCCTCCAATTACGCAGTGCCAAATGTGACCACCAGAGGGAGTACATGAGCTAAGCTGAAAGAGGGGCTAGCCCTCTACTCTTGCCAACTGAAGTTTTCGTGTTGGCTAGATAATCCCCTTCCCGTATATTACAGAACTGTTTGTCATACAGACGTATCTGATCGGTATGTGCTCATTATTAATAACTAATGTTTATTAATGATGAACGTTCTGTGTCGTTTCGTGTATTACTCTGGAAAATAGAGAGTCTTATTAAAAACAAAGACTGTAAGCCAGGAATGGTAGTGCATGCAATGCTCGAACTCGCTACAGTCAGCGTCAAACTTCTCCAGCTCCTCCTGCAGGGAATGCTAAGGAAGGGGAGTGAATTTGGGCCAGCCTGTCTCAAAATAGAGAGGAGGGGACACAAGAACCTATTTCCCTGCTTGCTACATAGGCTGCTCAGATTTAACTGTATAAATGATTTGAAAGGCAGCTTTGAGGCTTGGATTTTGCTTCCTTTTAATGTAAGTTATTTGATTTCATTGTGTTAATCTTGTGCAACATGTAGAAATGATTTATAAAGCACCGTAAAAGTATTTTCATTAAATTTCTCTCTACATATTGTCTGAAAGCCCAGGAGATGGGCCCCGGTAAGTCTGCCTCATCCGGTGATTCATTCTCGTTTAAGAACAGCCACCAGTATGTGTTTTAATAATTAAAAGTCTAGAAACATCTCCTTATTTCTGTGGTTCCCTTTTGACTTCTCCACACAAAGGAAAAAAAACTCAGCTTCGGTTGAAGTCTGTTCTTTCCCTGAGTTTCACAGCTCCCACATCTTGAGATTATGTGACGTGTAATACAACAACAGGTTTCAATCTCTTTCCCCATCTCTTCTTTGGCTTTTTTAGTGCAATGTTCTCGGGAATAACCTGAAAGATCTGGTGGATAAATACCAACACTACGAAGACGCTTCATGTGGGCTTCTTTCTGGGCTGCAGGCCTGCGAGGCCAAAGCGAGCAAACATCTGCTGGAGCCCATTGCTGTGGACCCCAAAAACCTGCAGAGGCAGTTAGAAGAGACCAAGGTAAGGAAAGGGGGGTGGGGGGAAACTGCCCCCCAGTAGTCCTTTCAAAGGCCTTCCGTTCTCTGCACCTGTGTGGTAGTTTTACTTGGGGCCCACAAAACATGTGGAAAGCATTCTGTCCACCAGGGGGCTTCCAACCAGACCCACACCGTTTGTCCACTGTTCTGAACTGGTCTGACGTTGCTGTTATTGCCTGCATTGACTGCACCCACCTCCTGCCCTCAAGGCCCGGGCCTCTTATTTACTGTTATATTTCTTAATTTTTCTCCCCTTTCCATTAGAATTGAGCTCTGTGAAGGCGGGTATTCGTGTCTGTGTTGTTCAGGGCTGTGTTCCCAGTGTCTAGACCAGTAGTTCTCAACCTGTGGGTCGCGACCTCTTTGGAGGTCGAACAGCCTTTTCACAGGGTCTCCTAAGACCATCTGCAGATCAGATATTTACATTATGATTCATAGCAGTAGCAAAATTATAGTCTTGAAGTAGTAATGAAATAATTGAGGGTCACCGCAACATGAGACACTGTATTAAAAGGTCACAGTATTAGGGAAGTCAAGAAACACTGATCTAGAGGATTACCTGGCCCAGATGCACAATGAGTATTTGTTCAAGAGTGGACAATGTAGAAGAATGTTGCTGTAGTGTTCAGTGTCTCAGAGTCAGTGTTGGAGAGCCTGTTATGTTCCCTCAAGGTGGAGAGAGATGCAGACTTCAGGTGTTACTAATGCCTCATTACAGAACATCTTCCTGCCTTCTCAGAAATGCGGGTTTGACATCATCCTAAGTGTGTGATTACCAACTCTCTCTCTGACAGCTGTCAAGTTAGTCTCTAGTCTAGCTTTTTTAATACAAAGCATATTTCAACACTTTTTAAAAGCAAGGATAGATAATTTTTAAAATTCTTCATTCTTGCTAGGTATGATAAAATAAAAATGGGAGTTTGAAAGTTTTATTGCTCTAGAAATGGCTTCTTTTAGCAGGTGGGGCTACTCACTGGTGTTGCTAGGGTCAGAGCCAGAGCCCTGGCAGCCTTAAAAAGCTAGGCTTGGCGACCACCCTCAGCAGGCCAGTCATGGAACCAAGTGACGGTGAAAGCAGAGATGTGTTCAGTGTGGCTGCGTTGCAAAGGGAAGCAGAGAGACCTGTCTTCAGGGTCTTGACCTGAGCTTTCAAGTTTAACGGAAGGCAAGAGATGGATGCTCACAGCTAAGCCGTGCGGTCAGGGTGCGGTCTCCCATCGTTGGCCCGTCCTTGTCTCAGCTTCAGTCTCAGGTGGTCCGACAAAGCTGTGGGAACTGTGTGAGATCTCTTTCTAGGAAACACGCTCACTCTTGGGCTTGCCTCTTGACCCTAGCCTCCTCCTTCTCCCAGCATGAGATTCCTGGGGAGATTCCCATGTTTGGGGGCCCATTGTTGAATGGTCTCAGAACTGAAAGGAGAGCCACAGACATCTCTAGAACATCTTCATCCCTGCCAAGACAGTACAGGTGTCGTTAGTTTACCGAAAAGGCTCTCGCGGGGTCAGCAGCCAAGGACAGGGAGAGGGAAGAAGTCTGGAAGTGCAGAGCGGGGTAGGCACAGTCTCCCGGAGCTGGAGCGTTGCTGGCCACCACTCTTGTGGGCACCAGGGCTAGGCCAGTGTCCCCAGCTCCATTCCACTGCCTGCCTTCCCATGTGCACTTTCGGCTCTGTTATTAATTTATTTCCTTTTGTTTTCTTTATTCTCTTCCTGTCTTATTAAGTGTTTAGTTCCTCTTGGTTAGGCATTCAGAGACAGACTACATGGTGATATCAGAGGAGACACTGTGACATTTAGGGCCATGATTTTGCTAAGAAATGCCAGGAGTTTAAAATAATTATTAAGATTGACTTACATTTAATTAGGAAGGGAAGTATTTTAATTACAGGAAAATAAAACGTCAAGTTTGCTCTGTGTAAATGTGTGTAAATTATCCTATATAGGTAAATTTTTAGGAACTAGAGCAGAAATAGAGGGGAAGGAAACTTGAAAGAACCCTGTAGCTTTTAATTAAACTGATACAGGGACGGTTTTGGACCGGCAAAGCTTACGTGGTAGGTGCTGCAGCAGAATCCGGGGATGCAAAGGCAGAGACAGCTCAGGGAATGAACTCAAGCTAAGCCATAGTGTAACAAGAGTAAATCTCAGATTAGCCCCTGGATATGAGTTGATCGCTGTACGCAATAAGGTTAAACTGTGACGATTTAGGTAGTCTTCATTTTTTCCTTTTATTAAATTGTTTAACAGTTATTAAGCTGGAAGTGCGGCACCCACCTGCAGTCCTAGAACTGGGGAGGCAGAAGCAGGAGGATTGGTGGGAATTTGAGACCAGCCTGCTGTGTAGTGAGCTCCAGGCAAGCTTGAGCTATAGGATAAGACCCTATCTCAAATTCTTTTATTTTAATAATATAAACATATAACTCGGCATTTTCTACATTAACTTTTTACCTTGCAGTTGTATTTTGTTGTCATAAATGAATTTCTAATTAGTACATTTAGGATATTTGTGTCCCGTGGCTGATTGTTAGCACGAATTGTTCAAATATTCACCAGCTGTGCTGCTGACCATCTGGTGTCAGTGAGCCATAAGGACTCCACAGGGAATCACAGGTTACACAAGACTTCCGCCTCATGAGAGATACGGAAGAAGGGTGTGTGCACCCAGCCTGGAGCCAGCTCTGAATCGCACTGTCCGATGGTGTGAACCTCTGAGGCCATAGTCTGATGGTGTGGACCTCTGAGGCCATAGTCTGATGGTGTGGACCTCTGAGGCCATAGTCAGATGGTGTGGACCTCTGAGGCTTGTGGTGGTTTTCCAGATGGTGCAAAGTCAGGAAACTTCAATGCACTGAATAAGAGCCCATCGCCATAGAGACTACCCTTTCCTGGTGCAGCTAAGAAGACCCAGGGTCGCAATCTTGGAACCATACTTCCTTCCCACTTCAGTTTTATTGAAGTCTACTCAAGATAATATATTTTCAAAAGGCTACTTTTGAACAGTTTATGTATTTGCCTCAATGATAGATTATCACTATCATTCAATGATAATGTCATCATAACTGTAACTCTCTTGGGTATAATTATAGAGAGCAAAGCATAGCATTCCTTAAGGAGAAGAGGAAAATACTTATTTCATAATCCACTCCTGGGTCTTAACAGTCAGAGACATATGTGATACAAGGTATTTTATAGGCTTAGTCTAACTTTTACATATATTCAGCCAGGGCCTATTGTTAGGTTTTGTAACTCTGTCCTCAGGAAACTCATGATTTAAAGGAAGAAAAAATAGGTGTGGGGTACCCTAAACGTTATTTCATCCCTTATACATAAGGGATGTACATAAGCTGTCCTGGACTTCTCAGTCTGTGGGCAGAGTTCACATCCTGGAGGATTCCTTCAGGTTTCTGTAACTAACTGATCCACTCTGATGCAGCCATGTGTGGGAGCATCTGTAGGATGCCGTTCAGGTCATGGATCTCGTGCTAGCCACTGGGCTTTCCGGTCTACACCTGTGCTTCCTGTGCAGCATCACAGTTGCTAACCACAGTCAAGGAAATACTTGCCATCAACTTTAGGCATTTGTTTTCAGCGACAATAACAAGTAAAGCTGACATGGAAAGGGCTGCATTCTGCTGTTTCTCCTGACATCCTCACTTATTAGTCACTTGCTTATTCATTGCAGAAACTTTCATCAAGGCCAACTGTATGGTCAAACACTGAGCAAGCCATGAAAAATAGAAGGCTGATTAGGATGGACCCCTAGTGGGCAAGAAGAGAAACTGATAAAAGAGACAGGTGGATGAACACTATCCACAGGGTGTTTATTTATAGACGCCCAAGGGTAGTACTTCACACGGCTAGATGAGGAGAATGGTAGAGACTTCCCAGGTAGACGTACAGGCTGAGTAGGAGCTAGCCTGAAGGCAGCATGTGAAGGATGGTATGTAGATAGGAAGGCACTGGTTCAGCCAACAGCAAGGAGTTAGGTGTGCTGTTGGCTGTTGCTGCGATAGAAAGAGGAGAACCGTGAGACCTAGAATAGAGATTTCATTGGCCCCTCTATGGCATGGTGCAGTCTTAGCCCTTGGTTTCAACAGAAGCAAGGGTCTACAGTCATGTATGTGTTCTAGGTAAAACAGGTGAGTGGGTGTGTTTGACAAGCTGTTGGAAGCCAGGCTCTCAGGTGGGAGTCTTTTTTCAGAATACCGTGTGCTCTGAAATACAGAGCAGAGTTTGATTTTAAAAAGTAAAAGCTTTAAGTGGGGAAAGTGGCAGGGTCGTTGGTTATTTTGACATGTGGAGAAGAATCGGGAGCATATCGGATCTATGAGGAGCCTCAGGCTTAGGACTCAGGGACTCAGACGTAAGCCCGAGAGGAAGCACCAGTGTGGAGAATGAGATTTCAGATTTTGCTGTTTTGAGTTTTAAGGTCACTATTTCCACTCAGGTGAAACATTCAAAGAGCATTTAAAAACTGTGGCCCATAGCCAGAGTTGCATTCTTCAGTGTTTAGGATGTGGTGTTTTGTGTGTGTGTGTGTGTGTGTGTGTGTGTGTGTGTGTGTGTGTGTGTGTGTGTGTGTGTTTACATTGTACCAGGCTTTTTCTTTGGGCCTCCAACCAGCTCCCAAATCATGACACGGAGAATTCTTATTATGAATGCTCGGCCTAGCTTGGGCTCATTTCTGGCTAGCTCTTTTAACTTAAATTAAATTAACCTGTTTCTCTTTATCTATGTTTTGCCTCAGAGCTTTTAACCTTCATTCTTTCTGTATATCTTACTTTCCTGTTGTCTCCATGGCTGGCTGGCAGCTGCCAGACTTCTGTCCCTGAGTGTGCCATGTTCCCCTCCCGTGCCCCCCCCACCTCTCTCTTCTTCCTCTCATTCTCCTATTTATTCTCTCTGCCCACCCTGCCTATCCCTCTCCTGCCCAGCTATTGGCCATTCAGCTTTTTATTAGACTAGTCAGGTGCCTTAGACAGGCAAGGCGAAATAGCAACATTATCTTTTCATACTTACACAAACGCAGCATAAGCAAGTGTAACACATCCTCACATCGTTAAACAAATGCGGCAGAAACAAATGTAACACACCCTTACACAGTTAAAGTCATATTCCAAAGCACAAACTCATGTAACATCTTTTCATAGCTAAATATTCCACAGCATACGTGAGTGCAGGTGTTCTTTCTTTTATGTGCACCTGGATGCCAGCGGTTGATGTCAGGTGTCTCCCTGGATTGCTGTCTGCCTTTCTGAGGTCTGGTTACGGGCTGACGTATTCAGTTAGACGGCATAGCCAGTTTGCCCTGAGGATCCAGTCTTGGCTCTGCAAGTGCTAGGATTACAGAAGGGTCACCACCATACCAACCCAGCCTCAAGGTGGATCCTGGGGATCTGAGCTCCACCGTCATGCTTGCAGCAAGCACCTTCTCCATTGAGTCCTCTCCCCAGCCCAGACATGTGAGTCTCAGATACGGACGTATAAGCAGCGTTATAAGGAGAGCTGCGGTACCTCTGTGAGCTTGAAATCATTGTCAAGCCTGTGAGGCTGGGACAAGTCTACATGGGCAGAAATATCGGGGGTGCTAGGAATTGCAGCCTCCAACCCCCTCTCTTTACCCCACTCCCAGTGTGGAGCTGCACCTGTTCACCCCGAGATCTGTAGGAGCCTCCCCCACCCCAGGGCTTGTTGGTTTACACTATCCGTGTGAGTCACCTATTACACTTAACTCATGTCTGGTCTCCCCTCTTTCAGCTCTGGGTACAGAATTCTTCTGGGCTGTTTTTGCCTCCGTGATCACGTTATTTCTGTCTCCCTTCCCATCGCAGTGTCAACCTCTTCCATGCATTTTCCTTCTCTGATGTTGCTGCTCTGTCAGCAGGAGCCGTTTCCTCCTACGGTTGCGGTTCTTTCTGCAAAGCTCCGTTTGTATAGTCCCGTCTGTCGCCAGCTTGCCGGCTCCTTCCTGTGCACTGTTCTAAGAGCGTGCATGCCAAAACCAAGTCTTCTGCACTCTGAAGTCTGATCGCCCCTGAGTTGATCCATTCTGGTAGTTACCTGAGCTCAACAGAACCCAGCCTGTTTCTTTCCTTTTGTCTTCTTGCACCCTTTGTGCCTGCCCTCTGTGATGACTAGCCTTTCTGTCCTGGCTCTGCCCAGCAGCATAGCCTTAGTCACTGAAGAACCGTGGCTGATACAGCTGAGGAATTAATTTGTTCGCTTTATTTGATTCCAGTGTAAAATTCACGTGTAGTAGGTCATACCGTATTAGGTATTATGGCTTTAGATAAAGTGAACAAGTCCTCTTGACTCTTCTCATCCCTGTACCGTACTGGACTTGGTGGTCCAGACTGTCTGAGTAGAGGAAGTGGCCTCAGACCTTGCTAAAGTCCTGGCTGCCTTGTTCTGACTTAAGTTACTCCCAACTAGGCTTTTCATTTCTTTCTCACTATTTTTTTTTTCTGTATTGCTATATGCATGCCCTTAGCACGTTCTTCAAAGCCTGCCTTCAGTAATTCCCCATTGCTAACAGACAGAATGTCAAGCCTAACATTTGGGGCCTTTGCAGCCATATTTATTTATTCATTATCATACACACACACACACACACACACACACACACACACACACACGCTGTCTCTGTGCTTTCTGTCTGCTCTGTGGAGAAGGATTCTGCTTTTCCATTTCTACAGTTTATTCAGGGCCCAGCATCATCACCGCTAACCACGGTCCTCACGTCCCTGCTGCTCCTCCTCTAGCTCACCTTCCACTAGCATGTCCTCTGGCCTTCAGGATGTAGCCCTTCTTGTAAGCTTTGCATCTGTTTTTTTTTTTTTCCTATAGAATGTAGCAGAGCTTTTTGAATTTTTAGATGCTCAGTCACTTACTGATTTATACAGATGACACGATACGAAGCCAAGGACCTAGAGTCAGAAATAGTCCCGGGGCTTCTCTGGTTTTTAGTTTTGTTGCTGTGTTGGGGTTTGGGATTTGGAGGTGGGGGTGTTGTACAAAACATCAAAGTGGAAATTCGGGGAAAACAGTAATGGGTTCAAGTCGCGAGTAGGAAGACTAAGAGCCTACACACGTGTGTCAGAGCTCGCCGTCTGGAGCGGTTGGTTGCTGCGCTCGCTCGCGCTCTCTCTCTCTCTCTCTCTCTCTCTCTCTCTCTCTCTCTCTCTCTCTCTCTCTCTCAACACTTTCTTCTCAGAAGTCCAGAAGAAGCTCAACGATGAAAGTTTGTATGTTGTGTAGTTTATTCTATCCTAGTTAATTTATCTGTTTTTCTTACTGGGAATCTGGTAGTCCTGCTGAATCTAATTGACACCGACTTAATCCCACAGGCTTTGCAAGGACAGATATCAAGCCAGCAGGTGGCTGTGGAGAAGCTGAAAAAAACGGCAGAAGTGCTCTTGGATGCCAAGGGCTCCTTACTTCCCGCCAAGAATGACATCCAGAAGACACTGGGTAAGTAAGGTCTTAGCTCGTTTCCTGTCTCACGGGTACCTTTGAAATGGAGGTATTTTATAGATAAGGAGAAAAAGTGTTCACGGATGTATGTTGTATGATTTGTGATCTCTGCATGTGTGAACGGAAGAAAAAAATCTTCCAGGTGACTATTCATGTTTCCCCCAAACAGAGCTCAATTAAAATCTGTGTAAAGTTTTCTGCGGGGAGAAAGCCACTCTATACAAGGTGAACTCTTTTCTATTCTTAGAGACATGCAAGTGTTCTTGATCATATGCCTTGATCGATAAGTCATTTCAAGGCACATGTATTTGTGAATTACATGTGCATTCTATTACATTATCATATCTGATTATAAAACACAAAACTACAAAAATTCAAAGCATAGGAAGAAAGTATGAATGGAGGTCCTAAGGCAGTGGTTCTCAGCCTTCCTAATGCTGTGACCCTTTAATGCAGTTCCTCATGTGGTGAACCCAACCATAAAATTATTTTCGTTGCTACTTCGAAACTGTAAATTTGCTACTGTTATGAATAATAATGTAAATACCTGTTTTCCAGTGGTCTTAGGTGGCCCCTGTGAAAGGGTCATTGGACACCCCCCCCAGGGGGTTGCGACCCACAAGTTGAGAAGTGCTGTTCTCTGTTCTGATAGACCATCTTGTAAACCCACGTTAGCGACCATCACCACAGGAACCTGAGCCGGGAGGTGTGAAGCAGAAACACTGCCTTCACTGTGGTTCTGTCATTGGAAGAGGCGTTTTTGATGTTTTCCATGTTTTTTTTTTTAATATTTGTTTTTTGTTTGTTTTGTTTGTCTTTTTAAAACAAGATCTTGCTCTATAGCCCAGGTAAGCTTGAGAATCACTGTGTAGCCCACACTGGTCTTGACCTCAAGACAGTCCTCCCGTGTTATCCTCCTGAAGGCCAAACTCCAGGCATGAGCTGCCATGCCGGGCTTTCCCTAATGTTAGATGCCCGTAATTTCATGTATTCCTTCAATGCTTCAGATCGTGGCACCATTTTCTAGGAATGTGTGAAACAATTTATGATACAAAAAAATTTCCATACGAACTTTTTTTTTAATTTCTAAGAAAAACAATAGCTTTTTTTAAAATATATATATATATACACATATATATACATATGTATATATATATATATGGTTGTTTGTTGATTTAAAAACAAAACAAAAGCTTGCTGTGTATCCCAGGCTAGCATTGAACTCATAAAGGATTTGCTAAACACTTTAAAAACTCGGTGTGAGGAACTGGGGCCAAAGGACAAATACCACAACAAAGATTTTTCTAGTACTTTTATTGCTTAGGAAATTACAAAAGATTAAAATTGTATGTAGGAAACTGATCAAACCATACACATGCATGCACTCGGAATTCCAAAGTCCTCTCCAGATTCTACCATTTTAAGCCTTAGACCTAAAATAAAAGGCGGGTGGGGGTGGGGGGTGCAGGGGTCAAGGGTCACAGACATGCAGTCCATAGCAAACACAGTGTATTACAGCTTTGAAAGCAGCTCATTGATTTGGCATGGGAAGTTAGGTGTCATAGCTGAACAGGTGACCGATCCCACAGTATCACTCATCATGCCGATGTATAAGCACTGCCCCCTGAGGAACGGCTCCACGGCCAGTCACAAGCTGGGATTTAAAGCAGCGCCTCTGGGGACTTCTAGAGAGGGGTCGCACTGGAATATGGCACTTGACTCCTCGGCTTGTGACATAGTAAACGCAGTCCTTCTCTCCATTAAGCCTTCTCTTCAGCCTCATTGTATTTTAGCAACAGGGCCCCGATTGTCTCAGCCATGCAAACTTTCCAATTCAGTGAGAATTTGTCAAGCTGTTTTCTCATACTGTAGCATTACAACAACTTAAAAGAAATTGTTTTGCTATTGATTCCTGAGCCCTAGGCCAAACACAAGCTTATAAAGCTGTTTAGGCCACAGCTTCTAGTCCTATGTTCAGTTCAGAAAGAACTGAAATACTTTTTTGAATCTTTGTGTAATAAATGAGTTCTTAAAATCATGATTAAAAAACAAAAACAAGTTGTGTTCCAGAGAGAGAGAGAGAGCTAGAAATTTAGTACCCCTGTTCTTTGAACCTGTCGCTGGCCCACGGTATAGAATGTCAAATGTCAAAATAGAGAATTTTGTATTCAAGAGAAAACTAGGCAAGAAGGTGGCATTTTTCTTTTTTTCTTTCTTTTCACCTTAAATCTTTAGAATGGAAAATAAAGACTATATCATGGGAGATAAGTTGTTCTGCTAAACTCATTTTTGCCTTTCGTCTGTTGTTAAACTTGTAGGTGAATTCTGTTGCTTATCTGTTAGAAGCACGGTCATAGCTTTAAGTGTACTTACTCTGTTATCCTGTTTTCTTACTGCTTTTGAGTCTTCTGTGCATTTGAAGCCTCTCTCTATGACAAAAGCTGAACATGAGTGTGTATGTGGAGAATATTGTCTCTTGAGAGTAGTTGTCGGGGACTGTCGTTCACCACCCCCAAATAGTTATCAATACGAGTTGACGTACCAGTCAGACATGAGAACGATGGCATGGCCCACTGTTTAGACCCTGCTTCCGTCTCTCCGAGACACTCACTGCACATGATAGGCGTCTGAATTACTCTTCTTCACTGTTTCACTTTTCACTGTCTGTGTCTTCATAAAAAGTTATACATGATCTGATTATTCATTAGAAACGCATCATTTAAACTTTCTTGTATGAAAACCTAATGTTGACCTTGGAGTGCGTTTGAAAAGGAAAGGGTAAGCAGAACTTGGTGCTAACTGGTCCCCTGTCCGTGTGGAGCAGATGACATTGTTGGGAGATACGACGATCTGTCCAAGTCTGTGAATGAACGGAATGAGAAGCTTCAGATAACACTGACCCGCTCTCTGAGTGTGCAGGACGGCTTGGATGAGATGCTGGACTGGATGGGAAGTGTGGAGAGCTCACTGGTCACGCAAGGTCAAGTGCCCTTGAACTCCACAGCTCTTCAGGATCTCATCAGTAAAAACATTGTGAGTGCCATTTTTTAAAGGAAGGAATGCCACTTGCAGTTAAAAAGCAAGTTATTTGCCTTCAGGAACAGGTAGGCTTAAAGACAGAGAAGAGATGCTTCTGAATACAACCAAGTAGCAAGCAGCGCTTGTACAAACGAATGTGGAAATGATTTTGTGATGTCACTGAGAAAGGGATTTGTGCTCTTTTTAAACCTACACTGTATCTTATCTCATTTATCTTTACTTCAGCCAGCTGCTCATGGGGTTCATCAGATCAATCTTATTCTTGCCAAGCCTTTTAAAAATTAAGAGCATGGCTAATCCCCAGGCTGCATTAGATCCCAGGGGTTGCTGGGTAGCAACAACCCCCTGCCTTCTTCAAGCAGCCAGCCAGCTGTTCTCCACACTCCCTTAAAGAGCTTTGGAATTGGCTTCCTCAAGGGAAAAATCAAACACGTCCCTCATTTCCAACTGTTAGCCTTTAGTCACAGGTTGTTCAAGCTTATGTTGCTGTGAAGAATTGTTTTCAAAACTCTGTGGCATTATTTGTAGACTTTGTTAGAAAATACATACAATGATGGCTGTGTTTCAGATGTTGGAACAGGATATTGCAGGTCGTCAGAGCAGCCTGAATGCCATGAATGAAAAAGTGAAGACATTTGTGGAGACGACAGACCCATCCACTGCCTCCTCACTGCAAGCGAAGATGAAGGACCTGTCTGCTCGGTTTTCCGAAGCAAGTCAGAAACATAAAGAAAAGCTTGCCAAGATGGTGGATCTGAAGGCCAAAGTAGAGCAGTTTGAAAAACTCTCAGAAAAGCTGCAAGTGTTTCTGGAGACACAGAGCCAGGCACTCACTGAGGTGGACATGCCAGGGAAAGATGTTCTGGAGCTGTCTCAGCATATGCAGGTGTGTATTCCTCGTTAGGCACAATGCCAAGCTTGTAGACCGGTTAAGACAAGCTCATGCATGCATTTAGCAACAGTCTACCTACCAGTCATCATTCTAACTGATTCATACTGGTTTCTCCTTGAAGCATTTTTCTTTTGAATAGAAATAAAACATTTACCACACATATCATAGCTGTTACAGTATCATTGTGCATGCCCAAACCACAGAGAAGCAAAAATACGTGCATTTTAAAGTGAAACATTCACTGCATCCTACCTGGTCATTGATAATCAGTCTCTGGAGTGCTCAGCACTAGATGTACTCTATACAACCCTAGCTGGAGGTATTCTGCTCTTACACACACCTCTGCTGGAATGTGATTCTGAGATCTAGCAACATTCATATTGACTGATCTCAATGCTTTGCAGGAATCCACTACTAAATTCTTAGAACACAAGAAAGATCTCGAAGCTTTGCACAGCCTCCTGAAAGAGATATCCAGCCATGGCTTACCAGGGGACAAAGCTCTGGTGTTTGAAAAAACAAATAATTTGTCAAAGAAATTCAAAGAACTGGAGGATACTATCCAAGAAAAGTAAGCACCTCATTCGGAATGTATTTTATTCCACTTGGTGGTACTCAATAGCTAAATGCTTTTATTTATGTAAGTATAGGACTGAGGTGATTTCCAAAATGTGGAGTCTTTGACTAATGATGTATTTGTGCCTTAAATATACTTAGGAGGCTGAAGCAGGACTATAGTTTGAGGCCCTAATCTGGGCTGTAGTAAGACCCTGTCTTAAGAAGCAAAACACAACAACAAAAACATCAAATTACTATTTCTTGAAATATTGAGGTGGGAAACTGAACATTGCTTGTGTAAAAGTGAGAAGTATTGTGTAAGCACAGTGGTGCTGGTGGACTATTACTGAAATGATTAAGCTCACCAAGGCCTATGGTTTCTTTGGCAAATATTGCCTTTCTATTTGCAAAGACAGAAATAACCTTGAAAAGCAATGGTTCTTGCTTTGGGGACTCAGTTCAGAAGCTATGCATATTTCAGTACGGTTCTTAGTAGCCCTTTTAATATAACAGCTCACTGCTCTCATGAGTGGATGAGGCACAAATCCATAAAGAACAGGGCAGTGGGCCCAGTTTGACCTGTGAGTCTATGTGGGAATGAGTCCTGGGGGCACATCTTCCCATTTCTATCTCAAGTTTAGAACACACATCCTATTTTTATGATGTTTATATGGAAGAGCCCCAAAAAGATGTTTTAGAATGATCATTTCTCTTTTATCTAGTTTTATTTCCTCAGAATTCTCTACCTAAAACTTCTGGGTTCTGTTTCTGAACCTCTCACAGAAGAAATATTCTTGGCTTTCTTACATAACCTAGGTTAACTATTCCAATTTTAAATTCAAGTAATATCTAGTCCATAAAAACATTAAAACCATATAGTCATCCATAATTAGTCCAGCTGTAATACATCTTTATCTCCAGCATCTGGAGTCATATGTGCACGTAAGTCATCCACATGTCAAGTATAACGGTGCTCTTAAGTCATATGTGTGGCATATAGAAAGGTCCATAGAGTTCACAATGGAGCTACCTGTGCGCTGGGGTGGAGGAGCACCTGTTAAAACTCCCCAGTCACTGGGTTACATCTCTCTGGAGAGGTAGAAATGCCATCAGTCCAAAGTGCTAGGTTAAGTCATCTACTCACTAACGTGACCTATGTTCTCCTCAGGTCAGCAGCGTATACATGTTTGTTTGGGTTTTGTTTTGTTTTGTTTTTCAGGGTCTTTGCTGGCTGACATTAAACATTATATAAAATGGATCAATCAAAGCTCCTAGAATTTATGTAGCATTATAGAGTATTGTTATGTACAGGTTACAGGGTTTTTTTTTGTTTTTTTTTTTTTTTTTACTGTTTCCTCTCCTTGTCTATGAGCTTTGCTTAAAGAATCAACAAGTAGTTACTCAGCTGATTGCATTTGCCACACGGGCAAACTTCAGCCTGGTACTGAAGAGTTGCTCTGTGCACCCAAGATGGTTGTTAAAGTTGAGCCCAGTTTGGGAATGATGACCATTGGTTAATAATTGGCCTTTTGGAGCATCTGGTTTTGCAGCTTAACTTCTGGTTTGCCTTTGTTCATTAGAAAAGAAGCTATAAGTTCTTGTCAGGAGCAGCTGAGTGCTTTCCGAGACCTTGCTCAGTCACTGAAGTCCTGGATAAACGAAACAGCAAAGCAGGTTCCCGTCGTGAAGCCTTCCTTGGGTGCAGAGGCCTTGGGGAAATCTCTGGAAGAAACCAAGGTGGCTCATTAGACCTGATACTAACCTCTGCTTGCCTGTGTTAGTAATGAGCATCGAACCCTTTAGTCTAAAGTCATGTGGGCTCGTCTCAGAAATGCCCTGTAGGATCGGTGGAAATCAGTAATGGGATTAGCTGATCTTTTCAAGGAAGGACATAATCTCTTTGTTAATTTGATTTATAAAAAAGATGTGTTAGTGAGCCATTGGCCCCCCTAAATATTGAAGTTTCCTTCTTCATCAAATCACAACTTAATTTCCATTTTTTATTATCTCTTCCCTCCACGCAGTAAGAGAGAGCTCTTTTCTTCATGTGCTTGGTAACCAGTGTTGGAAGACAAGTTCTTTGAATCTCTTGCATAACTAGTATATATAGAGTTTATTGTCTGCCATGAGTCATAAAAGTTATGGCTAATTCTGTCAGATTTCCTTAGAGTGAAATCACTGTCTTTACAACTTCACTGAAATTTTGGTAGTTAAAACTCAGTGTGAGTTGGAATTTTGTATGCCCGTGTTTATTTTTATTGTCCTGTTACATACCTAATGATGTGCCTGCACCTGATACAGCCCTGCAGACTTACAGTTGACAGTTACTCTGGAACATTCCCGTAGCACCAGGACACAGCCTGGCTTCCACTGTGGCTGGGGGCAGAACACAGAATGGGCATTGCCCCGTTCTCCGCCAACAGTGTTAACAGTCACCTGGGCCCACAGTCATTGTTGCTTTGAAATATGCTTAAGAAGTTCGGTTATAATGTACAACTTTGAAGATCCTCAGAAGACTGAAGGATAATGTGTTTTTGTGTTTAAAGAAACTACAAGAAAAGTGGAGTTTGAAAGCACCCGAGATTCAGAGAGCCACCAACAGTGGGGTCTCACTATGTAACCTAATAAGCGCAGTGACCACCCCTGCCAAGGCCATCACAGCCGTCAGATCAGGTATGTGCTTCGTTTCCATGACCAGCCGGTAAGAATCAGAGCTCTCCTGTCCATTCTGTCTATTTTTAATTCATTAAAATAAAAAGGCGCCTCAGCAATACAAAGTCAAAGAGGTAAGACAAATGACTTTTAAAAGCACATTGAAATTCATCACGGAGAGATGGGAAGATGGCTCAGTGGATTGACTGAGCAGGCATGAGGAGTTCAAGTCCCCAGCACACACACACACACACACACACACACACATACACACACACACACCTGTGTTTTATACGTGAGTGGGCACTGTGGTGGCCTGCCTGTCGTCCAGACACTCAGGAGGCAGAGACGGGAACCCTCAGAGCAGGCTGACCAGCTGGACTCACAAAACCCTTGACCTCTGGCTTTGATGAGTGACCCTGCCTCAGAAAATAAAGGGGAAAGCGGTTGTGGAAGATGCCCAACATCTGCTGTGGGCCTCAGTGTGTGGGAGCAGACACGTTCATATACACCTGCACATGTGCACGTACAAACGTAGGAGCACGTATACACACACACACACACACACACACACAAATCTGTCATGGAAAAATACCTGTTCTAATCCAGTTTAAATCCCATGTTTGGCTTTTATTAACTACTCCATCTAGAACATAACCACACTGGCATGTAAGGATAAGAAGGTGATACTGAGGAAGGGGGCGGGCCGGGTTCTAGTCTGTTTGCCTTTTACTGTTGTTACATGGAGACACGGACGTTCTCTCCGTGCTGTCTCTAGTCTCGTTATACTAGGTAGTAAAGACATGAATTTGGCTTCCTGAAAAAGAAGTGGGGAGGGGGGCTCTTTTCTCTCTCACTCTCTTCCTGTCTGCTTGTCTGCACATTGCTCCCAAAGCCGTGGGTTCTGCAGCCTGTTCACCTGCACGTGTGCATTTCAGCCTGAGCCCTGGCTAACCCCACCCTCCTGGGCCAGAGAAGGGAGTTGTATACAAATGGCGATTCCCAAGCTGATTTAATACGAATACAGTGATTAGGTAAAGCATGCTTTACTGAGGTGTGTTTTGTTCCTTTGTTGGTTGTGTTTTCTTTTAAGTTGGAGACTAGACAGAAGGCTGATCTCATGTCTCCGTTGTGGGTTTCTGAGTGTCCTCTGGTTTATCTGGTCTGACCAGGCCTCCAGCTGTCCCTATTGTGAGTGACACCATGTTCCAGCTGCACTTTTCTCCACCAGCCATTTATCCCACTCTATTAATCCCTTGGCAGGGGACGTCCACTATATATGCTGCAGTGATCTCTCCTTCCCCACCCCAGTCAGATTTCCTGAGATGCCAAGTTACTTTTTCTTAAGAAGAGGAGTTCTGTTGTCTTTCATTTATCTAAGTTCCTCCGGTCTTCTTATTTATAATAAAATCTGTACTCTGCTTGGTTTTCTTTGCTTGACGTTTAAGAATTAGTTTGGAGACTCTCGGATGCTTTCACTTCCATGTAAAATGCCTTGTGTGGGGTGTGTGTGTGTGTGTGAGGCGGGGGGCCGGAGGCAACATTCAGATGTTTAAATGTTTCTGTTGATTGTGCTTATATGGGTATATCTCTGCTGTGATAGACAGCCAGTGGATGCTAGCATGAGAAAGTTGGATTTCATTAACTGTGTGGTTATGGAAACATGCCAATACCAGATGGATATGATAATAAAAGACAAATAGCTATTATGACCCACTAAGGAGTTTCTGTTTGATCGGCAATTGGTTAACTATCTGTGGTCCCCATAGTGCTCTTACAGGTTAGCTACCTTGGTACCCATCAGCTTTATTTATTAGTTCATCTAGGCACACAGCTAAGAACTAGTGGGGCTGACATTTAAATTCAGGAGTCCTACCCCAGGCCCAGCACTACCACCACTGTGTCCTCTGTTTCAACATATGTGGATTTAGCTTGTTTCAGCTTAACTTTCAGAAGTTTCCTTCTTGTCTCTTTAAATCACTTGCCTTCATTAAGCCTCTAATAACATCATGTAAACAGACAGTTTTCAGTCATCGGGTAAAGCAGACAGTCTCTTCTTGGTTACTTTGGTTTATTTAGTATATGCATGCTGGGACCCTCTAAACTTCAGTAGCTTAATCATTAAAATGACTTTAGCATAAAACAACTTAGCTACAACATTTAGGAATTAACTTTGATTAACAGATAAGCAGAAGAAAGTAAGACTCCGGTCACTAAGAATAAACGATGGCATTCATAAATGACCACTCCATGACGGTTTGTGTAATGCCTTCTACAGTTAGCAGGCAGAAACACTAAGGCAGACTAAGGTCACCTCATTGTTTGTTTGTTTGTTTGTTTTTTGCAGGAGGAGTAATGCTAAATGGTGAAGGAACAGACACAAATACTCAGGATTTCTTGGCAAATAAAGGTGAATAGTAACCTTATCTGGTCCATGATTAATGGAATTTGCTGTTTTTGAGGAACTCCTTTTAGAGGAAAGTAGTTATATTGAAATCTTAAACTTGAATTAGAGTGGACACAGTTTCCATGGATATATTGGTGCAAGATCCTGTAAACACTGTCCATCTGAGATTAATAAAGCTTTAATGTTTCACTCTGGTACTCAATTTTACTTCCCTCTTATTAATTTAAGATACATATCTACTTGGGATAGCATTTGATCTATCAATCTATCGGGGACTAAGGGGACCCAGCCCCTCAATAGTCCCCTCCCAGGGTCCAGGAAGAATCTACAACCAGCTGATAATTAATCTTTGATGAAAAGAAATGAATCTATGTACACGAAACTCCTTAGTTCATACACTTTATTATTCTGTGATAGTTCTCTCTCTACACAGCTTCTATTCTGCTCTCATGCCTACCTCCTTTCTTGCCTGATTTCTCTATATTTATCTACTGTCCCCTCTAGATTCTATCTTAATTCCTTCATCTTGTTCTGTCCCTTCTAGGTTCTCATCTATCTAGTTCTTTCCCCTATCAGCTCCTCTCCCATCTCCTTCTCTCTCATCTGGCTCTTCCTCATCTTGTTCTTCCCCATCTGGCTCTTCCTCATCTTCCATCTCGTTCCTCTTGTCCTCTCTTTTAGCCCTTCAATCTAGTTCTTCCCCATCTCAGTTTGTTCCTCTCAAGTTCTTACCCATCTAGTTCTTCCATTCTCTTTCCTCTCCTGTGCCCTGGAAGTCCTTGTATATAAAGGGAGGGTCCGAGCTAAATTGTGTAAAGCTATTACTTAACGTCCACCTCTCCTAGGCGGTGTCTCCTTGTGGAATTTACCGTAAGTTAGGAGACTTGCATGTGGGCTGTTATCATTGTTAGTCCTCGAAGTTGGGCACCCACCTGGGTGGTGTTTCCTGTAGTCCTTGAAAGTGGTTAAGGGAGATAATCTGATTCCAGAGAAAGCCTTTCCTGAGGCTGTTCTCCAAATACCTGGAATGTGTATGTCCAGAGAGTGATCAGTCCACACTGTTAGTCCTTCTTAGGGGAAAGTCAATTGGGAAAGCTACGAAGGCACACATGATTTTCATAACAGAAGACAGCTGATATATAACAAGCCAAGTAACAGCAAAAACTCCTTGGCATTTGGCTTCCTCTGGAGGAATTCCCTGATCCCTCCAGGTAGTGACTTTGCCATAACCAGCTGAGTTCTTATGATATATTCCTGCGTCCTGCAGCATCAATCTATTGTTTGGTACTGAAGAACTATATTATAATCTTTAAGCTTATAATACCATTACGCTAACTCTTACATTTTACTATTATGCAGTGTTACTATTATTCTGAGTCATTTATCATTAACTAGCAGTATGACCTGATCTTCGTTCCTAAAAGAGTCTGTGGTTTATTGTAGCTTAATAGTGACAAAGTAGAAGGACATACTATGTAGTATAAATTTAATTCTATAACTTCTCCAAAGCCCTCAACATGCATTGGTACACTTTCCTTCCCACTTCTAGGTTTAACATCTATTAAAAAGGACATGACTGACATAAGCCACAGTTATGAAGACCTTGGCCTCTTACTCAAGGATAAAATAGCTGAACTGAACACGAAACTCTCCAAGTTGCAAAAGGCCCAGGAAGAATCAAGCGCGATGATGCAGTGGTTACAGAAAATGAACAAAACTGCAAACAAATGGCACCAGACACCAACACCTACAGACACCGAATCTGTGAAGATACAAGTTGAGCAGAATAAGGTGGGCTGGGTGTAGGGTGAAAAGGGCCAGTGAAAGAATTCTCTGGCCTAAGACCAGAGCCAAAGAAACACGCCTTGCCCCAAACAAATTCAGGAATTAAAAAACCAGTCAGTCCCTGAGCAAGAAATCCAACCAATCTCTGAGCTCGTCCCAAGCTCAGGAATTAAAATCCTACCAATCCCCATCCTAAAATACCTCCACCTTGGAAATGAAATCCTAAAGAAATCCTAAGACAGCCAAGGATTACCCATGCCTCAGAAGGCAAAGGTATTCCAACACAAGTGTTACAGCTCTGTTCCAGTGGGGGACAGTTTCCCCATCAAAGTGTTACCGTCCTTGCTCTGGGAAAGGTTTCCCTAATGCAAGGGGAGTAACTCTGCTCCAGCAGGGGAGGGTTCCCCTAGGAAGGTTGTCACAGCTCTGCCCCACTCTGCTGCTCCCGAGAAATGTTACAGCTCTGCTCAGCTTCCTGGAGAGGAGCACTGGCTTCCGACTACCAGGATACCTTTCCCTTCGGAGCTGTAGTGCTTACACTAGGCACACAGAAGGAAGACATCAGAGAGAATAGACTGAAATTCAGAAGTAGCCCTGGTGGTCATGAGCTCTGTTCTGTTTTCTATCTAGACCCTTCAACAAAGGACTTGAGATTTTAACATCTGTCTTTCTGTAGAGCGGGGCCATTGATGGTCACTTTTCCTGCCCTCTGACATTATAAAAAGGACCAAACAGTATAAAAAGTAACTTTGCCATTGTTAAATCCACTTCAGTCTGGGATATCAACTAGTTAACTTTTGGGGATTTAGTTAAGGGCTAACTATATTAAGGGCCAAAAAAGTCTATTGTAAAATGGGTTAGCTAATGCCATCCTCTTCTTTGATGGACAGTATTTCTGTACCTGTCAAAATTGGGAAAGTAGTTTTCCATGGTAGCACTGTGATGGCAAAAATGAATGCAAATCATCAACCTGTGTTTGACGTCCACCATGTGCTTATTCCCAAGGCCTCCCAATTCTGGAGACCTTGACCAAGGCTGATTTGCCTAGAGTTACAGTCTCACTGAGAACAGCCTGTATTTCTCCATGGCAGTTCGAAAGTAGAAAATTCCCTTCAGGAACAGAGTCGGCCATTGCCTCCACAGTCAGAGTGTTCCTCTGAGGGTTTCCTGGACCTCACAGTTGAAGATGGGCAAAGAAATAACGAGAATTATCAGCTGCATAATCCAGGTCCTCACCCACCCACCCCAGCATTTAACTTAGGATTTTTTCCTCTCTGGGTCTTCCCAGAAGGGAGGAAATGTTACATCATAACAGTGCTCTCTGTCTTTGATGTCATAGTTTTGTGTGGTCAATGATGGTTTCTTTCCTTCTTGTCAGTCATTTGAGGCAGAACTGAAGCAGAATGTAAACAAGGTACAAGAGCTGAAAGACACGTTGACAGAGCTGCTGAAGGAGAACTCGGAGGCCCCCGAGGTCCCCACCTGGAAACAGACGCTGACCGAGATGGGTGAGTGTGTCCTTGTGCCGCAGCTCACAGATGTCCGAGTGCTTTTCAGAACACATCCAGTCATCTCCTTTGCTCTTGGATTATCTTTAAATGTTTCCACATCTGTTTTTTGAATATTTAAAACTGTGACTTCCAAGTCCATTGTTCTGAGAACCGGCATTCGGTTGTTTTTATGAAAAGGTGGGTCGGATGGTTGATAATAAAATGCTAGGCACTGAGGAGTATTTTCACCAGTGCTTATTTTCTTTATATTGGCTTTGTGCTCATGGTTGGTATCCCTTGTTAGGTTTTCTTTCCTCCATTCACCTGGAAAAGGCAGGCTCCCTTCTCCTCCGTGAGGCCCTCCGTGAGGCCTCCCCCAGCCCTGTCTCGTAGCTCTTCTTTCTCTCGAGCCCGTGTTGAAGGGACACTGTGCGACCCTCCCAGCCTGTCTTTGTATAAACTGTTGGTAGGAACAGACTTCCCTTCACAGAACTCTTCAGTTTGTGTGAGCTGAGAAGACTAAGAAGGAAATTTTTTTCACTTGATTCTATTGTTCAGAGGTTTCCTCAAGTTAAGGTCTGTCTCTTTGGAGCCACGGTGTGTGCCTGTGTGCCGTGTGAAGTGTGTGCCGTGGATCCTGGGGTGACTTGACTTGACATCATCCCGCTAGGTTGATTTCAGACCTTCTTCTCTTCAGTGTCAGGCGTCACGAGCTCAGAAACAAAGTGTTCTTCATGTGCAGAGGTAGACAGGATCCGGCTCTCAAGACTCCCTCTGCATCAGAGTTCCTCCCAAGTTGGTGGCCGTCCTTGGATACCCAGTTGACTTCAGGAGCAGGGTGTTGCCAGGCATTTCAGAGTAGAGGTGGGAGTGAGGAGTGTGCGTTTTCTAACATGCCTCCTGAGGCTTGTGGTGATTGTCCACCCTGTCTGCATTTGCTAACAGTCTTTGGTCAGATTGTATTGGATCAGAACTTGCCGTACAGAGGGGTGCCATTAAATAAAAGTCACCTACTGTGTCCTATTCAAGTTTGTCCTTTAATATATTGTGCCAACCATCAAAAAAAACCTCTTGGGGCTGGTGGAAACAGCTCGGTCAATAAAGTGCTTGCTGACACATGAGCTTGAGGACAGTTCAGGGCCCAGAACCCATGTCAAAGCACCAGAGTGGTAGCACAAGCTTGTAATCCCGGTGCTGAGGAGGCAGAAACACATAGATCCTTGGGACTACCCGGACAGCCTACTCTACTGGGCGAGGACCAGGCCAGTGACCCAGTCTCATAGAGAAAAACCCAAAGCAAACAAAGGTCACAGCTCCAGGAACAGAGGCAATGGTTGTCCTCAACTTCCACACACATATACATATGTGTCATGTGTACCCACACAAACACATTAAAAACAACAACAACACCTGAAATAAACTGATCACACCACGTAGTTATCGTTTATGGAGTGATAGATGGGTTTAAGTGCTTGACTTGGTGCTCTGATAACTAATGCTTTACCTCAAGAGGTATGCTTGGTAGAAACTAGGAGAGCAAGAAGGCTCTCTGGCTGAGGGTAAGAGCCTGTGGGACTGGGAATGATGGACAGGAATAGGAGATGTTGCAAGGAAATGCCCAGGTATGGCTTATGTGAGCATGAGCTGCTTTGGTGAGAACATTCAGATTACAAGGGCTAGATCAGAGGATTCATGTCCATATAAACACAAGATGAGTGTTCCAGGGTCAAGTTGTGTGTGACAGGCCCTGAATTTTGGACAAATGTCTTCAGATTTTTTCACCTAAATGATGAAAAGTTATTGATTGAAGGATTTGAGTAGGGAAGTGATATGTTTAAAAAATGGTAGTTTTCGAGGAAATTATTTTAGAATTAAATGGCTTGCAGCTGAGAATAGCAGGGATATTTGTTACGTGAGTGCTGAGCTCTGTCTGTAGTTTCAGAGTGTGCTCTTTGCATCCACATACATCTCTGCACTTGCACTTGGGAACTAGTGAGACACTCCAGACCTACTGCATCAGGCCCCTGTGGGTTAACAGTCCCTCCAGGTGGTTCTGCAGCAACTGAGTTTGGGAAGCACTGGGGTCCAGGAAAAGTATGGTGTAGACCATGGCAGAATACAGCACTGAGCGTATCCACGGGGCTTGAGGCTGTGATGGCATAACAGGAGAGGTCAGAGGGCATCAGAAGTCATTGTGGAGCATTAGGGGTTATGAGTACGGACTGCCCTTGCAGAGGACCTGAGTTCAGAGTTCTTAGCACCACATCAGGCAGCTCCAACCACCTGTAACTCCAACTCTGGAGGATCCAGCACTTCTGGCCTCTGAGGGCACCTGCACTTGCACATAACAAGCACACACACACATAATTAAAAATAAGATGTTTTTAAAAATCATTATGAATTACTGCATCTCAGTGAAAAGGAAAAGAGGATGGCCTTTGAAAGAAATACAAGAACAGGAACAAGCATCGGTTTTTAGAGGGACATAATTAATGGTCCCTGTGATGGCTGTGAATGCAGTACAACCCAAAATCATGATGAGGGTTTTTTTTTTTTTTCTGTGTTTCTTTGCCAGTTCATTGTCCTGTCCTCAAGTGTGAACTTCTTAGAAGTCAGTGTCATGCCACAGTCATGAGGTTAGACTGGCCTTCACAGGACTGCTGAGATCTTGTACTGTACCTTTGTAGCAGTTGGTTGATAATGAGTGAATTTACTAGAATGCTTGAGGGTAAATATGCAAGTCTGGAAGCCATTTGCCTAGAAATACTTGAGGACTTTTTTTTTTTTTTTTAAAGATTCGGGGTTGTGGTGTGGCTCAGTAATAAGAGAACTTGAGGTTCTCTCTCTCTCTCTCTCTCTCTCTCTCTCTTGACTGTATAGGACTTTTGGAAAAAATGAGAGATCACAGGAACCTGATTGTTTTGAGGAATTTTAATATTTTTACCTTCTAAAATAAGTTCAAGTTGTTTTACTTATACTGGACTTAATACACAATCACTAGATACATAATGTTATAACAAAGACTAAAACAGTAGGTGTGGTTGGTTTGTGGAGAAGGAAGCTGAGACCTGTTATCATTTAGAGTGAACATCATTAGGAAAGAGAGCCTCGGGACCATGGAGACCACGATCAGGCCTTGATGTGGGGGAGAGAGCATTGGCGGGAATTGAACATCATCACAGCAGATGGGAAGAACCTACATGACATGGCAGGACTTTGAGATGAGAGAGCATTACAGGCATTATAGGCATTCTGAGAGCTGCTGTGGACAACATGAAGGGTAATCGGGCCTTCAGACAAAGAGCCCCTGTAGAAAGGAGATGTTTTGACTGTTACAGTTTGGGGTGCTATGGCTTGCTCCCCCACACCCCCTCCAGCCCAACCTGTTGAGGTCTGTGTGATCCCAGCAGGGGCTGTCAGTCCTTGTCTCAAGGCAGAACCACTGCAGGTGGTTATGGCCGAGGTCTCCAGACTTCATCTCACAGTGACCAGCTTCCTAGAATGGCAGGCTCAGGATCTAATACAGAATACCTGTGTGGTCTCACACACTTAGAACTAATGTGCAGGAGACTTACAAGATGTGGACGAGGACTGGAGATGTAGTTTCCTGGGAAGGTACTTGCCTAATATTAAGGCCCTGGGTCTAAATCCCAATACCACAGAGGGGGAAAAGGAATGACATCTGTTACATATCATTTTGAATCGCATGATTACAGTTTTCCAGTGGTGACATTAAATGTACAAAAACCAAATGCCACTGTCATCCTTTTTCTTTCAGATACCAAGTGGCAAGAGCTCAACCAGTTAACAGTTGACAGGCAGCAAAAGCTGGAAGAATCCTCCAATAATCTAACCCAGTTCCAGACCACAGAGGCCCAGTTAAAACAGTGGCTTGTGGAGAAAGAGTTGATGGTCAGTGTTCTTGGACCCTTATCCATCGACCCGAATATGTTGAACACACAGAGGCAGCAGGTGCAGGTGAGTGCGATCTGGGAGCAGCTGGGGCGCAGCCCCTTGACTTAGCAAGGCAAATGTTTTCAGTGTAAACACGTCAGTGCGGCCAGTGTGTATCTTCCTGCTGTGGGGCATATACAGCAGGGAGACAGCCACAGTATTTCCCCTGAGCCAGCATGTGCGCAAACCCTCCGCCCACTGTTTGGTCATATTGTTGTTGCAGACCCACTAAACATCTCTGTCTCTGAAGGGTGAACATGATTGCCTGAGTGATGGTGATGCTGATAGATGTTTTGTATCGTTCATAAAATTATCCTTTGAGGCTGCATTCATTTTGGCAGAAACTTGAAAGCTCATGCAGTAAGAGGTCCTGAGCAGGAGACAGAGCAAAGTGGGGACAAGGACAGAGACTGAGGGGACAGAGGGAACCTCAGGACCTAAGAGTTTTAGTCATTCACAGATAAGCCCACAAGGGAAAAAAACATAACATTTAAGTCAGACAGAAGAGCACAAGGTCTGCTGTGTTTCCTGTTGTGTTTTCATGGGTGTGAGTGGTGGTCTCAGAGCAAAGAGGAGGAGGAGGAGGGTGACCTCAGAGCAGGGGGGCGGTGGTCTCAGAACGGGGAGGGGGAGGAGGAGGAGGAGCGGTGGTCTCAGAGCAGGGAGGAGGAGGAGGAGCAGTGGCCTCAGAGCAGGGAGGAGGAGGAGGAGCGCCTTTAAGCCAGATGTGTCACCAGGTCTCAGGGGGTTAGAGTTATGTGTTCTAGTTCATAACTGTTCATAATATAAAGAAAACAAAAAGATAAAAAGAAAGTATCTGGAGAAATATTTGCTTGTCATCTTAGTGGTCTGAAAAGAATAAATAAATATAAACATAGATTAAAAATATAAAATAATAAAAGATTAAGTACACCCCAAGGAAGGCATTTGGGGGGTCATTTCTAATGACAGTCACGATAAGCCTCTGCATTCTGAGCAATAAAATTTTATCTCTAAAGCTTTAATGATAAAGATTGTAAATGTCAGTAAGTCCACTATTAAAAAAAAAACTTTCATAAGCCAAGAGCATTTGAACATAATAAGCGGTTAACTGCATTTTCTTCAATGTAGAATGCTAGGAAGTATTAAGCTAGCAAAAAAGAAAAGATGATTCAGGCAAGATAAACGTGGCGTTGGTAATGTGAACCCAGTGGCGATGTCTCCTGGGTATCTGGAAAGTGTGAATGAGCATTTATCTGTTCATTTGCTGATGCTACAGTTTATGTCATTCTTCTTACCCTTATTTTAAACAAGTTGCTAACTGTGAAGTACCGTGGCTCTTTAAATTGGTTTTGGATAATCGCACTGTCCTCAAAAACATTAAACAAAATTCAAAACAAACTAGAGAAGTTAGGACCATTTCTATGTGTTTGGATGCTTAAATTTATGTTTTCTCTAACTAATTATACAACCCTTTGTTTGTTTTCTACGGTTAACCTAGATTCTGCTTCAAGAATTCGACACTCGGAAACCTCAATACGAACAGCTCAGAGCAGCCGGCCAGAGCATCCTGAGCAGACCCGGGGAAGACCCTTCTTTACACGGGATTGTGAACGAACAACTGGTAGCTGTGACCCAGAAGTGGGACAACCTGACGGGACAACTGAGGGACAGGTGTGACTGGATTGACCAGGCTATCGTCAAAAGCACCCAGTACCAGGGCCTCCTGAGAAGTCTTTCCACTACCCTGAGTGAGCTGGATGACAGGCTCAGCAGCAGCCTCACTGTGGGCACACTGCCTGATGCTGTGAACCAGCAGCTGGAGGCGGCCCAGAAACTGAAGCAGGAAATAGAGCAGCAAACCCCACAGCTCAGGGAAGCCCAGGCACTCTGTGAGGACCTGTCAGCGCTGGTCAAAGAAAGCTACTTGAAAGCAGAGCTGAGTAGGCAACTGGAAGGCGTCATGAAATCGTTTAAGGATATTGAACAAAAAACAGGTTTGTCCCTCTTTGTATATACCTGTTCCCTGGTCAGAAATTGGTACCTTGAATTGCTGTTCCCGAGCTCTTGGTGATAATTCATGACTGGGAATGGACCCGGCTCCCCTGGGTACAGGTACACAAAGAGTTCCACGGAAGTTCCGCACACATCAGAGAGATGTTCTGCACACAGTCCACACACACACAGCAAATGCTCTAACTCTGGGTGTTCCAAGTTGATCTTTTAAATACGTAGACACTTCTACTGTGTTATATTGTCTTACTTCATCGGAAAAGTAGATGAATAGTTATTTGAAAGGCTTTGTTGAAGCACGATCCTAATTTAGTCTTAACAATAAAAAACCCAGAGTCAGATATTAGTGTAAAAGGTGAAAGATCAGAGAAGCAGAGCAGCCAGATACTTCTTACCTCTTTGAAATCTCAGATGGAATGGAGATTCTGTCTCTACGCATCCTCAGAATGAATGGGCAGCCATATCCTGTCCACCTGCCTTTTATTCCTGTCTCCACCTCCCTAGTGCTGGGATTAAAGGCGTGTACTACCACCGCCCTACTCTGTTTCTCTTTTAGACTGGTTCAATCTTATGTAGCCCAGGATGGCCTTGAACTCCTGATCTTCTTGCTTCCTCCTCCCAAGTGCTGGGATTAAAGGTGTGTGTCACCACTGCCTGGCCTCTATAGTTAACTAGTAGCTGACTCTGCCCTCTGATCTCCATGCAAGCTTTATTTGTCAGAACACAAACAAGATATCATACAACGCTTTATGTCTTTAGCTTATCTATTATTAATTTGTATGATGCTGTCACAGAAAGCTTTTCTAGAGAAATGTGTGGATTTCTCTTTTCCTCACTCACCTGTAGCAATAATTCTGTGACAAACTTATGGCCACTTACTAGACACAGTGGAGTTCATGAAGGGTCCTGCCAAAGGACAAGATTCACTGGTTTGTTCTGTTCCAGAAGTCCACTAGTTTCTAGGCCTTGCCTCTAATGGGATCTGACTTGTCTTTTAATTGGTTCAGTTTTGTTATTGATTATAGCAACCATTTCAGACTTTTTTTACACACAGACAGCATAGGATAGTAGATAGAATCTGCATGTCTTGGTGTCCTGGCTCAATCTCAGAACTGAAGTACCTGGCAAAGAGTTTAATACCCAAGAATGTGGAAAAGTCAGAGAAATGGGGGAAAGTTGTATTTGATATGAAACAGTTTATTGATAGCACACAGAAGACCTGCATAGGTTGAAACCAGACAAAAGTCCAGTGCTGAGAAGGGGATGTGTACACACAGTCCTCCCCTCACCAAGAAGCTGTTTGCAACTGATGCGTTTTCTACCATGGACTATTACTGGGTAAATCAACCACATTCCAGGGCAGGGCCCATGCCTGGATGTAGTTGTCTACAAAAAACAGTCAATGGATGTGTGTGTGTGGGGGGGGGGGTTGTCTTACTGATTTTCTTTTTTCCTGGTTTGTTTATTATTGTTGTTGTTGTTATTTTAGAGAGAGTAAGAAGAGCTTGAAGTTGTGTGGGTAGAGAGGTGGGGAGGATCTGGAAGGAGTTAGGAAAGGGGGAAATATAATCCAAATATATTTATGGGGAAAAGGTGTTTTAAATAAAATTAAAAAAAAAAAAAAAGAAGAAGAAAAAGTGAGTGATTAAGACATCCAGAACTGTACCATTGTCGATCTGTCTCACGCTGACATGGAGAAGGCATTCTGAGAACAGGCCTGGTATGCCATGTCCACACTTTGTACCTTCATTTTTACTATTCCCATGGCTTTTGTTTTCACCTAATAGCTGCCTTCTTGCCCTAGTGGCCTCATACTGTATTTGTCTCTCCTTTTCCCCTCTATCAGTAGCTCAAGTTCACTTACAGTTCCCAGAGTCAGTGCTAAAGTCTGCTTTAGGATAATTGCATACCATCACTTGGAGATTTTCGTTGACTTTTTAGAGATAATGTTAAGAACGTCATGTAAAATAATACATTTGCGGTTTCCCTTTCAGAGAATCATGTTCAGCACCTTCAATCAGCCTGTGCAAGCTCTCACCAATTTCAGCAAATGTCTAAGGATTTTCAGGCTTGGCTTGACACAAAGAAGGAAGAACAAAGAAACTCTCCCCCAATATCAGCCAAATTTGATGTCTTGGAGTCATTACTTAAAGCTCAGAAAGACTTCAGCAAAACTTTCACTGAGCAGTCTAACATTTACGAAAAAACCATTGCGGAAGGTGAAAACCTGTTATTAAAAACACAGGGGGCGGAGAAAGCAGCCTTACAGTTACAGCTCAACACGATTAAAACCAACTGGGACCGATTTAGAAAACAGGTGAGCGAGAGGGAGGACAAACTGAAAGACTCACTGGAAAAAGCCCTCAAGTACAGAGAGCAGGTGGAGACTCTGCAGCCGTGGGTAGACAAATGTCATCAGAGTCTGGACAAAGTCAAGTTCTGCCTGGATCCTGCTGAGACAGAGAACTCCATCGCCGAGTTAAAGTCTCTGCAGAAGGAAATGGACCACCACTTTGGTATGGTGGAGCTACTCAACAACACAGTCAACAGCCTACTCAGTGTCTGCGAGGTAGATAAAGAGGTGGTTACAGATGAGAATAAGGCATTGATCCAGAAGGTAGACAGGGTCACCGAACAGCTTCAGAGTAAGAAAGTCTCCCTGGAGAACATGGCCCAGAAGTTTAAAGACTTCCAGGAGGTCTCCAAAGAAGCCAAAAGGCAGATCCTGTGTGCAAAAGAACAGCTGGATGTCCACCACTCCCTAGGGCCCCAGGCCTACAGTAACAAGCACCTGACCATGCTCCAGACTCAGCAGAAGTCACTCCAGACCCTGAAGCACCAGGTAGACTTGGCAAAAAGGCTCGCCCAGGACCTCGTGATAGAAGCTGCAGGCTCAAAGGGAACCGCTGATGTTCTGTTGCAAGCAGAAACCTTAGCTGAAGAGCATGAAAGACTGAGCCAACAAGTGGACGAGAAGTGTTCTTTCCTGGAAACCAAGCTGCAGGGTATTGGCCACTTCCAGAATACCATCCGAGAGATGTTTTCTCAGTTTACAGAGTTTGACGATGAACTGGATAGCATGGCCCCAGTGGCGAGAGAGCGAGAAACACTGAAAGAGCAAAAGGCAGCCATACAGACCTTCCTGAAGAAGCTGGAAGCCCTCATCGCAAACAACAGCAATGCCAACAAAACCTGCAAGATGATGCTAGCCACAGAAGAAACCTCTCCTGACCTCGTTGGAATCAAAAGGGACTTAGAAGCCTTGAGCAAACAGTGCAACAAGTTGCTAGACCGAGCAAAAGCCAGAGAAGAGCAGGTGGAAGGTGCCACTGAACGGCTTGAAGAGTTCTACCGCAGACTGGAAGAGTTCTCCACTCTGCTCCGGAAGGCCGAAGAACACGAAGAGTCACAAGGTCCCGTGGGGACGGAAACTGAGACAATTAACCAGCAGCTTGATGTGTTTAAGGTAGGGAAGTTTACATTTTTTTTCCCCTGAATGTTTTTATTATTAAAAGAAGCTTCTAATTAGTATCAAAAGGCAATTTTCTGGGTTTGTTGTTGTTGTTATTTTAACCTTCTAGAATGACTGGCATATAGTATAGAAGCCTGGATGAGTATATATGATTATGATCAGATATTGCAGGACAGTCCCAAGGCCTAGACGGTATCACTAAGTCAAAGAGAACTTGAAGAAGTTCCAGGCAAGCTTGACCTGACCTCAGTGGAGTCATTTCTGATGCCATTTATAGCTGACATCTGTAGTGACCAGAGCTGTGTTTTGAATTAGGCTTCAGATGTTTGTCTCCCAGAATTGTCTCTAGTGATAAATTACAGTCTTTTCCCATTCTTTCTCTTTTAAATGAGTCTTCTCATCCCTCTTAATTTAATTTCTTCAAACTTTTTTTTCTTGTAGGAGTTTATATTTTTTAAAGGCAGTATGGTATTTCGTGTTGTAATCCTAGTTTTATACAGATCTTAGGCTCATGCCTGATGTGATTAGAAGTAAATTGTTTTTGATTGGACCAAGTCATGTCTGCCACGTGATAGCCTCAATGATACTTAATAAATGGAATACTACATTAAAACACTGGCTGTTTCAGTGTCTTTGGACTTGGGTCCATTTATGTCAGTGAAAGCATAAGCATAGTATAAAGATAGGTTCATTTCTGGAAACAGGGATGTCAAGCATCCTTAACAAACTATCAAGCATGTGCTGTTTGTGTGCCATAAACCTTTTGAAGTTGTCATGGGTCTTGTTCTGTTTATGAGATGTGTTTTACTTTCTGTCAAAGACTAGTACAGGGATTTTGCACCATTATCCTATGATAAAGGAAGACCAGACAGAACCAAGATATGTAAAACTATAGGCTGGGCTCTCAATGTAGAGCATATGAGAGACCTCGTATTCAATGCTCAAGTTCAGTTGTTTCCCATGGAAAGAATAGAAATTAAGTGGACTTCCAAACTCTGTTGTTGTTGTTGTTGTTGTTGTTGTTGTTGTTGTTGTTGTTACATCTGATATAGTTTCCTTTGCTTGTCTTTAGTAATGGGGCTTAAGTGAGTGAACTCTGAAAACAACTTTGAATATCTATAACCACTACTTGCTGTTTATTATTGGCAGACGTTTTTGTCCCACCAGCAGCTCCCAAATAAACACAGTGAGGCTCATATTAATTACAAATGCTCGGCCAATAGCTTGGGCTTGTTACTAGCTAACTCTTACATTTATGTTAACCCATATTTCTTATCTATGCTTTGTCATGTGGCTTGATACCTTTTCTCAGTACAGCATGCACATTTTACTTCTGTGCATCTGCTGGCAACTCTCTGACTCTGCCCTTCTTCCCCCCAGCATTCTCAGTGTGCCTCTCCCACCTAACCTTATTCTGTTCAGCTCTTGGCCAGTCAGCTTCTTTATTAAACCAATCACAGTGGCATATATTCACACAGTTAAATAGTTAAAGGACTATTCCACGGTTTATTGCATGCCTTGGGAGCGCAGTCCGCTTGGGATTTAAAAATCTGTAATTCTAAGAACTGAGGAGACACAAACATACATGTCATTTGTTTGTGTGTACCCTAAAAAAGTAATAATTGACAGCAAGTAGCAGGTGTGTACCTTAGCTTTGGTCTGTGTCAAATACATTGTAGTATCAGCCATGCAAAGTAGATGCTGTTCATCCCTAAAAATTATATAGGCCAATGGATGTTGGTGATTTGCACAGAGTCACACAGGTGATAATATCACAGCCTGGGTATTTTGGTGAAAATCATGTAATGCCATATGTCAGCTGTATTCTTTGTGTTTTAGACCTGATTTTCCTCTGCAAAATTTTCATATTGGCTTTGTTGTAGCCTAAGTTATGAGCCTGAGTAACAAGCCACTGTTACCGTTCATTTTGGTCCAAAACATCAGGAACCCCCACTTAAGAACAGTGTGAACTGAGTGTGTGTGAAGCTGGCGTGGTGTCCACGCTGCAAGGGCTGGGATAATGAGCATCCCAGGGAGTGTGCTGGGGGTGAGGCGGATCCAGACAGCGTGTCCCCTTAGTGCTTGTCTCTGTCTCTATTAAAGCGGCAAAGGACCCTGCTTCTAATGCAGATCTTAATTTAGCTTCTGTCGGGTCTTAGTCTTTTGTGGAATTATTTTCAATATATTTCTTGAAAATTTAAAAACCAATTCAGTGGAATAATTTACATTGCGTGAAAAGCCAGTCATTATAATGTCCAAGAATGAAACAGAAAAGCACTAAGGGGCAGGGCCTATTTTCATTATGAACTTTCAAATATAATCCAGTTTGACATTAATCCAGCAAGCGGCTTTCCTTCTTCACCCTGATGTCACGGATAAAATCCTGTGATGGTTTTTCTCAGCACACAGTGCACTGCTTGAGAGCAGGACGGAAACTTAGTGGTCATTAATTACCACATGACTTGCCAGTGGGGAGCCCAGACATTCACCTCATGTAATGTAGACTGAAGTACAGAGCTCCCTGTCCACTCTCCCCAAGTAGAGCTGAAAAATTACTGTTAATTTTGACTTTGTTTTTAAAAAGGCAAAATTTATTTATGGTAAAAATATCAACTCAACTATAATGACTTAAAACTTGTTATTCTAAATCAAACATTCCAATCCACTATCAATCAAAAGAAGATTCCAAAAAAAATTGACAAAAGACTGATGCCTCTTTAGTTAGTGCCAATTTGTAAACTACCTATTTGATTTCTTGGGCCTTTTGTTTGCCTGGTCATTGGACTAAAGTCTGAAGAGTGAGGTCCTTTTTCCACTGTTGGGGAGTCAGTGTATCGTTTTCCTCCTGTGCTTCTCTGCTCCTGCAGTTCAGTTCTGTCTCCCAGAAGGAGGAAAAAAAGCCACCTTGCTTCTCCTCAGTCCGGCTTGCAGAGCCCTAACTCGGGATCATTTTCAAATGAAAGCTATGTTAGGTAATGTAGATGCACACATTTGTGTGTGTGTGTGTGTGTGTGTGTGTGTGTGTGTGTGTGTGTGTGTGTAATTTATTTACTTATCTATTTGAGACAAGGTCTCACTGTCATCCTGGCTGGCCTGGAGTTCGCTATATAGACCAGGCTGGCCTCCAGCTCACAGAGATCCGCCTGCCTCTGCCTCCTGAGTGCTGGTGTTAAAGGCGTGCACCACCCCCTACCCCCCGCCCAGCATTCGCATTTTTGTTTAATGAAACAGTTACGTAACTGGCTACAGTATGTACAGTGGTCCCTGTGATGTCATCAGCATTCAGTCAGACCCTCTCATCATCACAGTCAGTATCACCACATGAACTGTTGATTTCACATTGATTTCAGTGAAGATCAAAGACACTGAACAATTAATATATAGTGTCCCATCTTAGCCAACTCTGGACCCCTACCTCTCTCTAGTCCATGGCAAAATAAAACAAAAAACAGACCCTGCTTCCTGTTCATTCTGGCTGCTCTTGCTGCATCCTTTGTAATTTATTTTTTCCACACAAGTGTCTCTGGTACAAGTGGATATGAACTGGCAATTCTATTTTCAAAATGGAAATAACATTTCATAGAACAGAGAATTTTTAAGTCAAGTTGAAATCAGAGACATAGACCAGAACATGCAATTATGCTATAATAACTTTAGTCTGGTCCAGGTGTAGGCATTATCTAACCCAGGCAGTATTTGAATATTGGATAAATAAAATGCAAAATATCATGGCACTAGAGACACCAGGAAGTCTGCACACAGATTTCTTAAAATACTGCTTCAATGGCCCCCATACAACTACTGTGATGTCACCATTATTTTTAAAGGTAAAATTAAAATGTCCAGAAAGTGTGTTTTAATAGTAGTATTCACATTGTTAGTAGAGATCAGAGATGAATACTCTACCCCTTTTTGTTGAGAACAAGGGGAACTAGATAACTCTGGTTTAGGAGAGGTTTGGGGTAAGGGACATGTCTTGGTGGACTGGTTTCTGTTACAGACTGTCGGCCAGCAGGCTGTGTGCCTTCCGTCAGTATTTACAAAGCTGAAAACATTTTCACAATGGGAGCTACCTAGAAGAACCGGCTTACGGGAAGATCACACTCATTAGCCACATCAAAGTAGCCTTTATGATTTTAGGGTGAAAGAACACCACTTCTGGTGGGCAAGACCGAAGCCCCTAACCCCCCGTGCAGAGATCACGCTTTCACGTCTGAGCTGATGAAGTCTTGCCAAACTCCATGTTCTGATCCACCCTAAGTGGGCCTAACCCATGTCTGCCCTCTTCCCTCCATCCCGTAAGGAACACACAGCACAGGACAGACCGTCAAAGGGAGCTTGAGGGCTGGCAAGACAGCTGCTCTGGGAAAGGCCTTTGCCACCCAGGCCTGGTGTCCCAAGTTCACATGGTGAAGGGAAGAACCAACTCTCATGGGGTAACCTCTGACCTCTACGTGTATGCTGAATCACATCTCTTCCCCATGC